ATTTCTAGAGGAGGTTCTTGATGTTAGGGCCAAAATACGAACCGATACGGGAATTCTGACTTTAGATAGGTTCGACGGGTCAAAATATGTTGTGAAACATTAGTCTAATCCACTGCCCAGACAACGTATTTTTATTACTGTCGTTATACTGTCCGTATAGTGTGTAGCCTAAAAGAGTCTTTATCGATTTTAGAAAATGTTTTTAAGCTTACATAGACAACTTTAATAACGACAAAAATTCGAATGAGTCATAAAAAGAATATAGCAAAAATTTTACATATAATAATTGCAACTCATTTCAAGATTTAATCAAAGTCAGAAATAGGATCACTTTAACCCATTACTGGCTAAAACAAGAAAAACACATTTTTTAATGATTTTTTTATTAAAGTATATTCAAAACACATACATTAAGACTAATTTACTATTGAAAAAAATCATAAACAGTATTTTGAAAAAAAATACGTAGGTGCGTATACGCACTTTTGGCTGAAAACAGTTATTAAAATTAATAAAACTAAATTAGTTTTTTATGTGAAAATTTTCAAAGTATGCTGGATGCAAATGCACTTTACACAAATAAATAGTATTATTTTTGCGAAATCGACACTTTTTTCTTGCACTATTAACCTCTCTATAATATAATATGCTCGATATTGTCAAATTTGACTTCACCTGATAGAGCGGATTGAGAGAGAGGGGTTCAGTTGAATACTGCGGTATTTGAAGCAACATCATTTCTGTATCTAAAGAGAGTGCTAAATCCGAAAGAAATTTTAGCTGAGATTTCGTTGTGTGCACAGTGTAAAGTGCATTTGCATCCAGTTTACTTTGAACTTTTTCACATAAAAAACTAAAAACGTCACCTTCCAAATCATCATCACTATCTATACTTGGTTGTATTTCATACGTTCCTGCATTATCCGTCTGCAATCCCTCTTCTCCAATAATATTTTCATCAAAGTTTTCCTCATCTGTAATTTCATCTGTTTCTGGCGGCACATAAAAAACATCAACCAATTCAGCATTTTCACAATCTGAATCCTCTTCTAACAAAGCAAGTAACTCTTTAGTGGTTAGTGCCCTTTTCATTTTCTATTTTGACAAATGACTGCAATAATATAAACAAAATTATACCTCTATAGCTTCTATACAACTCAAAAATCTCTCACCTCATATTGGCACTAGATGTATCCAAAAAAATAACTATTATGTATTACAAAAAACTTTAGTTCAAACAATATTTTATACAAAAATACACTTTTTTACACAAAGGAAAACCCAGAAGTACACTCTGCTAATAATGAACTGATATATGTTCTGACAAGTCCTGTATTTTATATACCAAGATTTGTCCAGACTTACATAGGAGAGAATAAATATGTCAATCGTTATCGGCCAAAGGTGCGTATACGCATTCACTACATATATATATCATTATGACCATCGTTTTGAAAACATATGTAAAAAAACTACATGAGTATCAAAATAAATCTTTTATTTACGCCTGGCTCAAAAAAAAAATAGTCTGCTCATTTTTACTAACTTAGAACAATATTTGTTTGAAAATGTGTTCTAAAGTTTTAAATATCGTATTTTCTTTAAAAAAAATAATATTAAAACAATACTATTTTTAATTAAATAAAAACACACTCTCTGGACTGTTGACATAAAATTCTGTAGGTAGGAAAGCATAGAATTTTACGGATAATCTCAAAAAAAAAAAATTAAAATAAAAGGGTGCGTTTGGCCGCTAATGGGTTAATTTTCACGAGCCGCCAAAATACCTAAAGAATCGATTTTGCGAAGTTAAGTTCTAAATCGAATTATCAGTTGAACTCCTTTCACCATATGAGTAGTTGATATATTTTTCAGTTAAAAACATAAAGACTAAAATTATTCCAATTAATAAAGTATTTATTATTTGATTATTAACTTAAGGCATCTTCGAAATTGATGGACAATAATTAGTGATCTCTTATTAATTAATGACCAACCTTGTGGGCTCGCAGTTTATCAACTTTAATTTGTAAACTAAATTCTAATCAAAATATTAAAAATTATGTATTTGAAACATAACAACAACTCGGGTTTACCGCAGAGAACACCTCTCACAAGTAAAAGTTGTTCTGAAATTGCGTTCACTCTTATTCAGACCAGATTTGTGGGTATTTTAAGCTACAATCGACACAGAATTCGTATCTCATTTATATCAATGTTTTTTCAGAGCAATTAAAATTACGTAGACTAGAGACTGGTTCATCGAAACGATCGAAATAAATGGTTTTCTTTCATAAATTACTTTATTATGGAAAAAATTATTGAAATTGGTAATGGTCAATAATTTTAATCATGTAGGAAAACCTTGACAACCAAATATAAAAAAAATAGCAAAATAACGCTGTTGTCAGGGGCGTATACAAAGGGGCTAGGCCGCTCATGTATGTTTTTGTAGCAACGACTACAGCTCCAATGATAACAATTTTATAGATACTGAAAGTTCAACCTGTCCTCTAAAATTAAAATTTGAATTGCTTAATTTATAAGATTTTTTTATGACAGAATTTGGTTTATTGATTTTCTATATTAAATTTTCTAAGATTTTCTAAATTTATTCACAAGAGGTTAAGTCGTCGACGTCCAGGGGACATTTCGGTCATCGCCGTCAAATATGACAAATTACTTAGTTATTATTACTATTTATCAGTTTATTATGTGTTATAGCAGTTTAAGCTTAATTGCTTCCGTTTATGGCACACATCTTTAAATATTTTAAGTGTTGACCGGGATGCCACCTATACGCTGATGGCCTAAGCTATCTGAAACTGGGTAGGTGGGATAGGTAGGTAGTTAGGATAACGGATAACTCTGATGTAGTTCATCAGTAGTTCATTATGATTTATGGAGACTAGACAAGGAGCACGAACTCGTACGGGAAAATTAACAATTTTGTCAGTGTAATACCAGAAATTCCTTATAGTTCTTACTGCTAGGCTTTTTTACGGACCGTGGAGGAAGGAGTTGCGTAAGCCAATCACGTGCCTGTGCGAGAGAGAACGATAGTACCCAAACTAACTCTTTCTCCCTCTGCCACTCGTCTACACTGTCGCCGTAAGCGTGCTCCTTCATGTAATACATGGGGGTTTTCGTTTTAGCGAAAATAGTACCTATTAGCAAATAATATCAGTTCAGAGAACTCTAAGTTATTATTAGCTGCTGATAGCTACAATTTTTGCCAAATTGAAAGGCCCTCATAGAATGCTCTAATCGCTAATTAATTAATTCATTTGAATATTTCCCGCATTGGATGCATAATATTTGCTACGTAGCCTGAGGTGCTTTCGTTTTGAACAAAAATAGTAGCTGTTAGCGGATAATGTAGCAACTCAAGAGTATAAATTCCTGTGTTCAATGTGATAAAAATATTGCAGTGTTTGTCAAGGTTGCTCCACCTTTTACACTGATGCACCTACATAATTTTTGGTGTTTTAGAAACTAGAAAATATTTGTGATTACGTTGTTGTAGTCGTCATTACAAATCGAAGTTCTTACTCAAAATAAAAAAATACCAACGACAAAATTTTGTTATGCATGAAGTACCTATTATCATTTTTGTTTTTTTAAACCTAAAATAACATCTCACCAATTGGGATACCATGAATAATGAATATCACTTTCCGGGGAGACTAAGACATCCATGATCACCTCAACATTGACAAATCAAATATGGTTTACATCTAGTTTTTGAATTTTGAATATGTATACTATTCTGCTATTCGAGTACTTTCAGCAAGTATCCGAAAAAAAGTAGTAGTGAATACTTTTAAGAATCGAATACTTCTCGATTTTTCATTCGAATTCTCCCATCTCCATCTCTACTCTCTACCATAGAAAATTGAATATATAACATATTAATTTTTCTATGCTCTACTTTTCTAAGGTTAGGTTTTTTTTATAATATGGTCAAGTTTTTGTTTTTAAAATTATCCATGAAAAAGGCATGTTCGAGTAAAATGTAATTGCTGTTCCGAAGTCAACAAACTGTTTTTAATAATTATACAAAAATAAGCCGATTAATTTGTCTTGGTTCAGTTTTGCTTACTTAAGAGTTACAGGTGTATTCAAAAGAAGAGAAATAAAATGAAAGCCTTTTTTGAAAGCCTGTAAATTTTTAAAGAAACGAGATTGTACCAAGCTATTTACACCCTGCATCTCAAAAACAAAAAATAATGGGCCTATGGTTCATCAGAAAATCTTATTTTTTTATACAGGGTGTTAATTAAGTATGTACAATAAATTCAACAGACGATTTGAGTGATTTTAAGACAAAAAGTTGATATGGTCCGTGGATGTTTTGTTTTCAAGATACAGGGTGTTTGTAACTTTTCTAAAGAAAATTGCTATTTCGTAAATATCTTACACACCCTTTACCCAATTTTGTTGTAATTTTGTAGCGTTATTTGTAGTGTTAAGGGGCTAATTTAACCCTAACTTGATTAGATTCGTTAAGTCCCGTGGTGTCTCAAGCGGTACCTTTAACATCTTGAAAACGATGAAGCATCTGCGGACCAATGTTTATTTTAACTTTTTGTCCTAAAATCGCTCAAATAATCACCTGTACATACTTAATTAACACCCTGTATATTCTCACCATCTAAATGCTTTGCTTTCATTTTCTTTAATTTCTGGTTTTCCCCGACTTAATTTTTTTAACAATTTTTCATAAGTTTTTGAAATATCATTTTCCTTTATTTCTTTTAACTTTATAACATTACCAATACTGTAATTTATTTTATAGAACATTATCTCCAAATTCAATTAGTTACACAAAAACTTGTAAGTAATCAGACATCACTCCTGTTTTTTATCCCCTAAAACAGGCCGTCACTGTTGCACACCCTGTACAGGGATTGATAATTTTCAATTTAATGATTTTGAGGAAATGAGCAAAAGACATTTATATTTTACAGAGAAATCCAAAGAAATAAAAGACTGGTTAGTATAATTAATTTAAATTTATTTATTCATACGAAAATGCTCTTCATGATCACCTCCAACCACTTAAAAATCAACTTAAAAATAATTACATCATACGATTAAAATAAGAGTAAAATAAAATGTCCCAAAAGAAAAAAACATACATTTAATAACGGGTAAGAGGGGAGAACACCAACGAAAAAAATATCACATACATATTGAGTGATTTGATTAATTCAATCCTTAAAATATGTTATTCTTTAAAAAGATGATCAATATATGTATTTTACAGCCGATAACGGTATAAAATTTTATTAAACGATAAATTTAAGTCTACTTTGTTAACATGTACAACCTAAAAATCACACTGCGCTAGTCTAAAAGCATAAATGAACAGCGATACACAACAGAGTAACTTAAACGGACAGGCCCGAACCAAAACAAGCAATTCGCTAAAAAATATCAATAATTCCCTTTTTTTGCCTCAATAAAAATATTTCGTAAACTGATTTGCAATCTTTAAATGTACTAGTATTGTTTTGTAACATGTTTCAAGCACATATATTGATTAGGAAAATTTCAAAAGTATGTGAATCTGTATTCTAAATATTCATGTAAAAAAAAATCTTTGTCGATAAGCTATATCATTTTTCTGCTGAAGATATATTTAAATTTTATTATTTCAAAAAAGCATGTATCAAAACCTTAACAATCATCAATACCAACAGGAAATTTTGTATCAATAAAACATCAAGCCAATAAAACATTACTTACTTTGGATTCGGGTCTAGTTACTTAAACGATTAGTTTAAAACTCCCTATAAAAGTTTAGGTACTTCTTCAATATCGGAGGCAGCGGTAATTCTTGTATCTTGCTCTTCACATGCTCCGTATAAGGGCTCTCGTACATTCGCATCTCGTTATCTGTTTTCATCTCTTCCTCGCCCTCATTATCATTGCTGCTGTCCCCTGCGACCCTTTGTACACTTAACCCAGTCCTCCTGCACTTCAGAAAACTATGGGCGGCATTCTCAGTCTTCGAACTCCTCTTCGGCCTCTTCTCCACTTGCTCATCCTCCTCGCTACTCGAAAAGTCATCAGAAGTGGGATATTTCCACTTCGGCTTGTCTACCTTTGTGTCGTGATCTTCATCATCGGACGGATCGTGGTTTTCTACAATTTCATCACCCAATCCACTATCAAATTTCTCGCGTCTCTTCTTGTTTGTATTACTGGAGCACTCGCTTGAAATTGCCCTTTGATGCTCGCCCTCATGCTGGCCGGAATCAGTACTCTCGTTTTCCTCGTTTAATACATCTTTTCCGTCACGTTCCCTGCTCAAAAAGTTCAGCACATCAACAAAAACATGAATCTCGTTTACGGAATCTAAATCTTGATCTTCCATACTGCTACTACCGTTCTGACCGTTCTTACCACTATGAGATACCTGCAATGAAAATAAATCTAACACACAATTTGGATAATTTTAAAGTACCCACATTTTCGTTTTGACTAGTATTAGCTTGACTTGTGCCTGGATTATGCTCAATCACAGCACGAGTTTCAACTTGTGTTTTATTACTAGTGACTTTCTTATCACTCTCCTCAGCTGGCTCTACCGCTTCGATTTCCATCTTATTGTCTTCATTGTTATGTTCATTTTCATTGTTCTCATTTCTGGTATTCTCGGGAGAAGTCCCTAAAACCATGCGAAACGAGTCAAATCGGTCTCCTAGGATAAAAAAAACTATTTGGACGAAAATATTTTAAAGCTAAAGCAAGAATCGTACCTAAGAAACGATTTCTTCTCTGACGAAATGGTTCCACAAAAAAATTCACCAGACTGTCTTCTCTCAAAGAAGCTTGGTTCTGGTCTCTATTTATCGGGGGGACTGAGTCTCTGTTCCTTCCCTATAAATGACGACATGAGTTTGCCTTTGAAAAATGTGGATAAAAAATAAACTTACTCCGCTAATTCGAATATAACGATCATCGTCGGAGCTATCATCAGATTCAAACAGTGGGACCACCATTCTCCTCAAGGGATTCCTCTTCTTCGGAATTTTACGTACAGGGAGCCTCCTTTTTACTGGAGGCAATTCAATTTCCACATTTTTACGCAAAATATTCCTAATGACAGCACGACAAAGACATTGCAATGATAAGGGCTCCACTTCAACTAAAAATATTCATCGAAATACAAATAGAAGCCAACAAAATAAAAAAAAATACTTACTCATTTGCACCCAAGTGGGAGGGCCCTCAGGGGGTTCAATAAGCGAAGCAAATGATACAGGTAGCAGAGAACATACCTCCCAATTTGTCTCGGAGGTGCGGCGTATCTGTAGCAACTTTTCATTGAGCGGCATGACTAGAATACCCCCAACTTTTAGTAAATTTTTCATGTAGGACTCGTACTGTCTTGGACAGGCAGCCCCACAGTAGACTCTGTCGTATTGAGCATGGTAGTCGCTTGTAAGGCACAGGCAATTTCCTTGAACAAATATCTAAGTAGTTACAAGAACATATAAGTTAGAATAATATATCGAAATTAACAGAAGTTACAACAGTCGTAGCTAAACGTTTGAAACAACCACTTATTTGGTAATGTGTACATATAAATCATTTAAATGTTGTGCTGAAAAGAAGAGTCACAAAATGGTGCAAGAATTTATTTTTGGACAATTTTCCGAGTACAATGTTTTAAAACTTAAGAAACCGACATTTTTTCAGAATTGCTCTTTGGTGCTCACCATTTTTCTATATTTTTAAAACGTAGTTATTACCTACATATTACTCTTTATATTTAAGACAATTTATGCAAAGGACACTTCAGTTATTATTTATTACTAACTGTGTCAAGAAAAGACTAGTAACAGTTATAACGACTGAAATGGCATTCATAGAGCACTGAGAAGATTCAGAGAAAGTTAGCAAAAATTCTTTGAAAAGAGCGTTTACACACAATGGTCTTTTGAAGAGTGAGGATTTGCAAATATTCTCAAGCATGCACTGAAAATGTTCCTTTCCAACATTAACTCACAAACATTAAAAGAGGCGAATGTCAATGTACCTAAACAATTTGAAACAAATAGTTTTTTGGCGAGAAAACCATGAATTATTACCTGGGGTATAACAATTTTGTAACAAAATTAACCCGGTTTGGCCGAGTTTGCCAAACCAGCAAACCATATTTCTGAAATAGGTTTAGACTGAGACCTCTTTCTATGTCTAGTTATTTTGTCTCGCTTGTTAGTTTTGCTGCATATATATTAAAAATTATTTAAATAAGTGTGGTTGTACTTTTGAAAATATCTACATATTTAATTTAAAAAGGAACTTAAAGAGGAACGTGAAGTATGAGGACAGACACTTAAACCCAAACAAAATTTTTGCAAAATCTGTCAAGTGACTAATTCTAACTCCTAATAGCTGTTTTACATTGACAATTTATTGATGAATTAATTCATGAAGTCGCTTCATTAAGAAATTGGACAAGTGTAATGCACCAAATCTGTTGTCAAATAACTTGATAAATTTATTCATCAAGTTCTTGACGAATTAGAGCATGTTCTAATTTTCCTCAATTTCTTCGTGAAGTTCGGAAGTACCAACCCAACAGATTTCCAGCCTCAGATCAGTAATGAGGTTATGTTATTGGAATATGTAAATAATTGTGTGGCGTCGTGCTAGTTTTGCATTGTTTTTACTGATTTGTTACTTACAAAAACTAATTATATAATATGTGTCAGAACGGTACTGCTGTTGTACCACTAAAATTATGAGTGGAAAGGTGACATTTTTGAAATTTATTTGCTTCTTTGATTCATTGATAGAACTGATTCATACTTCAAAAAACTTGACAAAGTCTGTAGCAGTGTAAAACCACACTGTTTACCAATAAATTCGTGAATTAATTCATGAAGAACTTTGTCAATTTATTCATCAATAAATTGTCAATGTAAAACAGCTATAACACAAATAAACTCAAGCTAACATTGTTAGCCATGGTTTGGGTCAACCATAAATGCTAAAAGTATTTCTATAGTTTGGTTGTATTAACATAACCTGCAGATAATTACCTGAAATATTATGGAAATAAACTTAGTAAACTCCAATTGATTGTAAAAAATGCTGTCCATAAATAACAGGTAGTATAAAATTGTTAATTAAACAAATTGCCAATTTTTACTATTCTATCTGATATTACTTTCATTTGAAACAATAAACAAAAAAATTAAATAAGTAAGTATACTAAAGATAAACAATTATCTATTATGATACAACCAGTGTTGCCAACTTCAAAATATGCTTGCCCACAGAAAGATCCTAACCGACCCACCAGAAAGTCGCAAGATCAAAGAACCGTTTAACCTACCACGTACATCCAAAATTAAAACAATAAAAGTTGTGTTTATTACTTATTAGCATTAGATTGGTTGGTACTGCAGATTTTATATACAGATAAAGTCAGAGCATAATTTATAACCTTGAAATTTAAAGTGGGAAATGTGAAATACAACGCGGGAATTATGAAACGAATGAAATGTGTACATTTCATATATTCTATATTCATTAAAAAGTCTCAGAGATAAAACCCAAAGATTTTTTAGTGTTTATGTATGATAAAAATAGCAAATTTTTGTATAAAAATTTAATTTTAATTTTGGAATTATATGAATGGAATAACATATTATGTTGCATAATATAATATACACGTTTATACGTAATTATAAATATAATAACACACCGTAAATATCTAAATATTAATATAAACTACATTTTTGTAACTAACAAACCTAAATATATTTCTTTTAAATATTGCAGAAAAATAAAAAAATTTACATTACAAAATTAGGAATATCAAAATTTTCTTGTAACATGCACTAGTTTTTATTTTACAGATGACTTCAGTAGGTAAAGTATAATCATGCTGTTTTTTAAGCCTGCTTTTATCGTTAATATAGCTTGAAGCATCGGTAATAGCATTTTATTTCCGACTTTATTTTTTATAAAATTACACCAAGAAGCATGGTCCATTGGGCATTTTTTCGCGTGATTAGTAACAAATAGATTTAATATTACCAAATAAGTTTCAAATACATGCCAATAATATAATATGCACAAAACCACCATAAAAACCACCAAAGTATAAAAAAAATATCTAAAAAACCCACCAGCAACTAAATGGAAAAAAAGTACACTAGACGAGTCTTTCAAATCACCAGTTCTAGTGGGGAAACCACTAAGTTGGCAACACTGGATACAACAAAGGAAGTACTTTAATACTCAAGAACTTTCACTAATTCAAAAAATGGAAAAATGCATTTATTTCTAAGAATTTTTTAAACTAATTGTTTTCAACAGTTTCCTTTTATTTTATTATGAATAGGAATTGAAGCTGCGAGGCATTTACTTCTTATTGTAGTCCTATTAACATCAAATGAAGTTGTTCAGCCTTATCATAATTACTGATGGAACAAAAACAAGAACTATTCAACTGTGATAAAATTCAATATGGCGTCCAATTGATAAAAGATTAAACACATAAAACAAGCACCGTTCAATTATAAATTTACCTTGGTTGTTCAAATCAGACAAACATCAACTCGTGAATTTTTTTTTGAACAAATCGGATTATCTTAAATTGCGTTTTGGTTTCTTTCGTTAGCAAAAAATATATATATTCCGATTTATAAGCCATAGAATCTCTGTGAAAAAATTAAGTGTCAAGACTTACCTTGTATAAATTTTGGTTCACAAAAATCAAACTCATCGATAGCCCCCGAGTGCTTCCTGAAATCATCCAGCTTTTTATTGGCATACTGAACTACATCACTATGATATTCGATCCCATGATTAACACCATAGGTCCCTAAAATAAGTCCCACCATGGTACTTAAGTAACCGGTGCCAGAGCCAAGATTCAAGAAAGACAACCCGGGTTGTAAACACAATCCTTCCATCACTTCGCTGTAGATACATGGTGCGGAGACATGCAGATTGCCATTCTTCCAGGCCAGGTCTCTGTAAGCATTGTTCCTGGCTTCTGGCAAGAAATATTCGGCCCTGTCAACAGCCCTGAAAACCCTCTCAATTCCAGACGTTTTTATGTACTCTGCCTCTAGTAAATTATCTATAAGATGATCATTATTCTTCCCCGTACTCACTACGCCACCCATACTGGTCGATTTAAGGTAAACACCTGCTTGAAGAGAAATTATAAATAAACTGCGACATTTTTATTTTACGTCAACACAATGAAGATTACCTATACGCACTGGATTATAATTCCCTGCAAACAAACTTAAAGGTTCCTAAAGAGTGGCATTTCCTCGACGGCAATGCCCTTCATTCCACAATCTCCTTGAAATAATCACTCAGTTAAAAGCAAAACAATTCACTTGTCAAAGAGTTGATTCTGTTCTGAATTTTGTACTAAACCACTTTGATAAGGGGGTGAGGTGCGGAGAGCAGACAGCTGTTTTCTTCTCTCGGTGTTGATGAGCTACAAGCGCATGCGCGTTATACTACAAGTCAGGTAAATTTTACATACTTTATTACATTCTTAATAAATCATTATTCTACTTGAATATTTGTACGACGTCTCTGAGAGATATATAGATATTTTTATTTTAAAATATTTAATTATTTGTAATTAACACCCAGTCTTATCTGTGTCTCGTAGCGTTATAAATACGAAAATCTCAGAATTGATCGCTATAGAAATAGAAAAACGATACTTTTTACATCTGTTTTATAAATTATGTAGAAATACTGGTTTGCATTTTTGCACAAACACTGCGCACCTAGGTATGGTTTACTGTCTGTAAGCACTAGAGACCGTTTTTCTACTTGCAAGCAATCAGTTAAATAAATACTTCATAGGTAGCTGGGTAGCTACATTTTAAGTAGACACCAATCCAAACAAATAAAAATTACTGAATTAAATATCTATCTACCTGTTTATATAAACCATTTTATCTTAATTACTTATATATTTCGTCTTTTATTCGTCCTTCCATATTTTATTAGTGTTCATATTTATTATAAGAGGAAAACATTTTTAAACGCCTTTGAGATTAACACCTACTCTAATAAATATTACCTACCTACAATAATGGCCGTTCAAGACTCCATTTTAAAAGCTATCCAGTTTTATCTTTACCTTATCGACATATTTGTCGAATCTAACACCGTCTTATATCGTTCTTAATAAAATACCTATAAACCGTTTTAAATTTTTCGACACAAAGTGAGCCCGGCTTACATAAGAGCTACGAAATGCGAAAGGATGGTTATAGGAACCATTTAAAATATCTATCAGTTTTAATATGGCTTTAAACCATGTTAGGGACAGATAATATTCGCTCCAAATTTAATATAAATATCTAACATCTCCATCAGCTCTGAAACGTAAGATTTAGTGGCATCCTTAACTTTTAAAAGTAAAAATTTTATAGCAAAATCAAGCGCGGGAAAATTAACTCTAGGGAAATTCACTCCCTTCTAACCCCTCTCACCGATTGCGCATGAGCGGTGTTCATTGCACGGATATTCTGTGATTTCTGATGAATAGTTTTGGTTCTGTCATAAAATTTAAGTTTTTTAATTATATGGTGATTGTGGACATTTTCTGAAGGTAATTATTAATCAATTTTTATATCATGTATTAATTTGTATCGAGATTATAACATAAACTTGGTGTTTTATTTTATAATTTATAAAACTTTCAAGCTGTATTGGTCAATCACAACCGTCAGGCAAGGACTTACGTATTTATCATAGCGAATTTTAATATTTTTTTATTAAAGTTAAGCGTTAATTTCTGCCTGAATCCCAAAGTTTTAGTTTATTTGAAACTGATAAAATGTGTTTTGTTCTCGGTATCCTTATCAGGTTAAATCTATTTTAACTTAATATTCACTCATGTGTTTATATTTAGTATTATTTGAAAAACTAACTTGGATATTTACGGTTTTGCAGAAATGTCTTCAATTACATCCACAAACACCACTGAGTTGTCCATAACTCAGGAAGAAATGGACAATTCGAAAATAACAATAAATACAAACAGTAGTAAACTTATATTAGAAAATAATTCTTCTGATGTAACCATATCAAAATATGAAGCTCCCACATCTTTTTGCAATGTTACAACCACAACTAATTCGTCCATAACAATGAAAACTCAGGTGGTACCTTTAGTTTATATTCAAAATTCTGCAAAAATTCCTTTTCCTGCTGTAAATAAAACGAACAGTAATGTTATAGTCAATAATATTTCACAATTTCATTTTGCAACATTAGGCACAGCAATAAATAATAAAAATAGTACGAATTTACCAACAACAACCATGGCTCTGCCAACAAATCAGAATGTAATTTTGGCAACTGGCAGGCCTCAACCGCTAGTATTTCAAAAGCCACAGGGAAATGTAGTTCCGGTTGTACCCGTTCCTGTTTCTACAGGAGCAAAAATAACGGGGACATATCTGACAATGCTGAAACAAGTTCCCAAACCCACCGAACCAACAAATATTAGTAAAGTGCAGCTAGCTACGGGAAATATTCCCAAAATGCAGGACTTCCCGTTACTCAATAATAACACTTATATACAGTCTCAGAACCAAGCACAAAAATTCGTTATTACTCCAATGCCAAAAGTAACAACAAATCGCTTACCAGCTACAGCCACGACTAATAGCGTGCAGCCTAAAATTGCTTTGTTGCCAATGCCTGTACCTACAACTGAACCATCTGTTACAAAGCAAAAGATATATAATTTTAAGATAACAGACGGACAAATACAAAGTGACTCGACTTCCACCGTAACTGTTATGTGTGATAATTTCTCAAACAATTCAAATGAGAACAGCATGGATGTGGACAGCAATAGCGAAAATAATCTGGTATGTGATGAAGTTATCAACTTAGACAGTCCTGAGAAATCCGACATAACAAACAAAACTTACGAATTATCCATAACGGAAGAATCTGTAAGTTCTCAAAGTGATTTAAGAATAAATAACTGTCACAGCAACACTACTATTATAACTAAAATTCCCTCGAGTACTGAAGTTAAACCTGTACTACACAAAGACACTCCGAGATTTCCTAAACATGGAGTCTCAATATTAAAGAAAAATTATTCTAATTTTGCAGATCGTAAAACGGACAAACCAAATAACTTGATCATTTGCAACATTAACTCTAAAAATTCAGTTTCAGAGAGCAAAGAAGTTTCAGTTATAAAACCTAGTACTAGTAATAAAGAAGACGTAATTATAACTATTCCAAGCAGCCAACCTGCAAAACCTGAGAAAGAGAGGAGGCGCAAGTCAAACTTCTCTTACAGAAAAGAGTTTGATGATATGGAAGTAACCAGCACTTCCACTCCGGCAAACGTATTTAATACTAATGCAAATAAAAGCACTTTTGAGAATAGAGAGTCAGCCACGAACCCTAAAAAGTGCCTCACCGATGAGATAGAAATAGAAGTGATAAAAGAGAAGGGTGATATAAACATGAATGATGACTGTGATCTCCAAAAACTCTTAGTATGGGACGATGAAGTGGGTACATTACCTGGTTCAAGTTTGAAATTTATTATGAACGAATTTAGTATCATTGAATATGTGACTGAAGACGAATATAAAAAGATTTTGGAAAAGAAAGCAGTGAAATCCAAGGAGAAGATGAAGGTAGATTTCCAGGAAGAGATGCGTTGTTTGGAATGCGGTTGTTTCGGTTTACCTTCCGAATTCATCAACCCCAAGTTTTGTAGTTACGACTGCCAAGAGTCGTCTCAAAATAGAAACAAAAAAGATAAACAAGACCAGTTCAAAAAGAAAAAGAAGAGACCTAAAAAAGAGGCGAACTTGGACGGTAATTTAAAATCTGAACTGAAGCCTGATATCAAAGAAAGTGGCAGCGAAGAGGACTCAAACGACAACTCATCGCAAGAAAAATTCATGTCTTACCCTTGGGCATGTAAAAAGAAAGGATTTTCATGGTCCAAGTACCTTGAACACATAAAGGCTAAACCTGCACCAGTGAAGCTGTTTAAAGACCCGTTTCCTTACACCAGAAATGGATTTAGGCCTGGAATGAAACTGGAAGGTGTAGACCCTCAACACCCTTCATATTTCTGTGTCTTAACAGTGGCTGAAACTGTAGGGTACCGGTTGAGGTTACATTTTGATGGATATCCGGACAATTATGACTTTTGGTGTAATGCGGATAGTATGGACATCTTTCCTATGGGTTGGTGCGAGAAATTTGGACATGTCTTACAACCACCCCCTGGATATACCATCGATAATTTCAACTGGGTGCAGTATTTGAAACAGACTAAGTCTACGGCAGCTCCCAAGCACCTTTTTTCGAATAGAGCTGGACAGGTGAGTAGATTTCTTTAATTTTTAATAAACTAGCTAGTGTTAATGTGTTGTAAATAATTACTGGGGGTGGGGTAATTTCAACCCTATTGGAAATATCTTGTATTTTCCGAGAAGACAGACAGTTAAGATGGCACAGGCTAAATTTTCGAAAAGAATTGAACACGTTTTTTATGCTAAATAACTTTTTTATTTTCATTGTTTCATTTGTTTTTTGTTTACATTGAATCTAGTAACATACATATTTTTCGATTTTTTAGTTATAACCAAAATTTAAGAATTTTTTATTAATGATATCTTCTTACTCTTTTTTTTTTCTTTAATTTCCTTTCAGATATGATATTAAGAACTATACAAAATGATTTTAGAAACCAAAAATAATTTTTTTGTAACATCAGATTCATGACTTGATTAAGTGCGCCATGAATGTATTTCTGAAACAATTTCACATATACCACTTGATTCTATGAAAAATACTAAATAAAATAATTTCTTCGGAAATTAAAAGTTTTCGCAAATAAAAATTTATTTATCATAAGAAATAATTAAAAATTAAAACACCGTTTGTCTTTAGAGCCCAAAACATTTTAATTAGTACTTGTTCACCTCCTCAAAAATTACGAAAAATTCCTGTCAAATTTTGAAATTTGGTGTATAACAATGTTGTATTATATTAGAGTTGGAATAAGAAAATTGCTATTACAATTTTTCAAAAATTGGCTCCTAAAAAAACAGGTAAGATGCCTTGGACTTCATTTTTGAGAAATATTGAAGAACAAAAACCGCGTCTCCATATTCTGATTCGATTAAGAGATGCAGTACGTTTTTTAAAATTTTGATGTTTTTTGTGACAATTTGTGTAGATTTATAAATTTTATTTTACATAATATTTTGCTGTAATTTCCAGTTTTTTAAAGTTATAACCTAAATTTAAATATTTTTAATTTTACATAAAATTTCCTTTCAAATATGATATTTACAACTATATAAATTTTTGAAAAGGTGTAAGTACCAATATTTTTTTTTTATAACATTTGTATAGTACTGCAAAATAAGTGCAACATGAAATAAAATACCTTTAAAAATAAAATTTTCAAGAAAAATTTATTGACATAAAAAAACAGTCAAAAAGTAAAAGTAGTCCTGTATCTATCAAATCAAGATATCGACATCCGGATCTTGCTGTTCTGATTTTTTTCATAATCACACCAAAACATTTTAGCTTAGCAGCTAAACCATTTCCTCAAAAACTACAAAAACACCTAAAATTTTGAAATTCAATGTAGAATGATCTGTTATTAGATTTCGAATAAAGAAAATTCTTAATACAATTGTTTAAAAACTGATGCCTAAAAAAATTTGGATGGGACCTAGGAAATGTCTATTATTTTATTTTTGAACTTCACTGGTTTCTAACATGGCTCATTTTATAAGGCACTTTGTATATGTTGGTACTGATTTCCATCAGTTCGAGTAATTCCTTTATTCTATTTAGGCAATCTGTCCAAATGGCTTCCGGGTGGGCATGAAATTGGAAGCCGTCGACAGAAAAAATACGTCGTTAGTCTGTGTGGCAACGGTACGTGATATGATGGATAACCGGATACTGGTGCATTTTGATAGCTGGGATGACATCTACGATTACTGGGCCGACCCCACTTCCCCTTACATACATCCAGTGGGATGGTGCGATCAGTATGGGCACAACCTAACTCCTCCAAATGGTAAGCAATGAATTAAAAATGTCATTATTTGTACACTTAAAAATGATATTCGGTTGGGACACTAAATTTTGAGGTGAAGCTGTGATCGATTTTGGGGCCAATTAAGCTGATTTATCTTAAATCGACGAGGAATATGTTTTATTGTTATTTAAATTGAAATCTTTTAAAACATATAATACATATTTCGGAAGGTATGGATTGAAATTTGACGTTATTCGAATACAGTTTTTGTAAGTTAAAAAGATTTGTTTTAAAATTATAAAAATATATATGTATTTTGTAAAGACCTTAGTCTTAGCTTCATTAAAATGTTTTGGTTCGATTACATTAACTTAACCGTAAAATTTTAAAAGTACTTAAAAATGTAATAGGATTTTTTTTTCAATCAAATTCTGAAGCTAAATTTTTGAAGTGCGTCATTTTAAACTGATCGAATTACTTTGGTTTTTTTATTTAAAGTTTATTTAAAGTGAAATAAAGAAGAATAAATTAAAAGTGGGCACTAAGCTGATTTAACATAAAATGCTAAAATTTTTAAATTCTCTCCTCTAATCATCTCATCGAGTTTAGATCTAATAAACTAGTAGGTATTAATTACACATAATTAAAACAAAAATCAGTAGTTTAGATTAAGCTCCTGTCTCCTGCATTAATATTAATAATTTTTTTCTAGATAAATCACATAAGAAAAAAGGTGGTGAAAATTGGCTTAGAGGTAAATGTTCAATTCAGAATGGGGAAATTTCAAAATTATTTTTTTCTGTAACAATATGGGCTGTTTCTGTCGTTTTGGTATTGATTAGGTCGTTTGTTATAGAAAGACATAATTGGTTTGTTGTTGTGGTGGATGGAGGTATCAAGACATATTTCAGATAACACTTGCTTACTTAGTATAAATATTTTTATTTTGTATTAATATCAACAGTAAATTTCTTATTATAGCGATGTGAGAACTTAAACTTGTTTTTTTTATCTAAATATGTTGGTGGTTTGAAATTTTTATTTGGAAAAGTATGTTGATGTAGCCTTTTAGTATAACTTTTCTATTTTAATGAGATTAAAATTTTTATTCACAAAATTGTGAATTTATAAATGTTAAAACAACTGAATTTATGTAGAAAAGACTTTGACCCTCCATATAATAGTAGTGGTGCAAATTTTGTTATTCAGTGTAGAAGAAATACATTGAATAAATCCATTATTTCCAAAACAATAAATTTCATATTATTTTCTCAAACATGTTGGTATTGCATTTTAAAGAGACTTTTTCATGTTCAATTGTTTGTGCCTGATGACATCATAAAAATTTTATTTTAAATACAGGGTGTCCCACCGAGAACTGCGTCGATCAATATCTAGGAAAGTACTTCTCCGGAAAATTTGAAAATTTGGCAACATGGCAATGTCCCTGGGGCAAACACAACTAAAATATTTAGAACTCTCCAGCACTTCCGGTTATACCGGAAGTCAACACCAAATTATTATATATTATTACATTTTCGTATTCGACGTGAAATTTGAGGGTGACTTTATTATACATTCCCTATACCTAAAAATTATAGATTTTGAGATATTAATTTTTAAAGGGAAAATTTGACAGCTGCAAGGGTCCGCGGAGATGCTAGTAACTCTTTTCAGGAGCATAATATCAACCGGATTTTTGGTACCTGTAAAGGGCATAGGGAACCCTAAATTATGGTATACCAACAAATTAAAACATTTAATACTACGTGTTTCATTTTTGCTGTTACATTTTGATAACTTCAAACAGCTATAACTTTGTTAACTTAAATGGAACACACTATATTTTTTTACTCTGTCGTATGCAGATCGAAATTTCCTTTCAAGCCATATAAGCATTGTTAGGGTTGCCGTTACTACTTTTATAGATATTTGCAATTTTCTATTTTTTGGGCAGTTTTTCTCGTATCAGACCTGTTGTCAAATTGGCCATGACCAGAAATACTCCAAAAACAATTGAAATAACGTGACATTTGTCAAGTTAGTTGTCAAATAATTATTGTTGTGTCTGAATAGTTTTACCAAAAATTTAAATAAAAATGCCTGGGGATCGTTTAAATTATACTAATGAGAATTATTTTTTTTAAACGATACTCAGGCATTTTTATTTAAATTTCCAGCAAAACTGTTACAGACATAACAATAATTTGACAACTAACTTGACAAATGTCAGATTATGTTAATTGTTTTGGAGTGTTTCTGGTCATGGCCAATTTGACAACAGGTCTGGTACAAGAAAAAGTGTCCAGAAAATTGCAAATATCTTTAAAAGTGGTAACAGCAACCCTAACAATGCTTATATGGCTTGAAAGGAAATTTCAATCTGCATACGACAGAGTAAAAAAATACAGGGTGTTCCATTTTAGTTAACAAAGTTAGTTATAGCTGTTTGAAGTTATCAAAATATAACAGCAAAAATGAAACACCTATTACACCATTAAATGTTTTAATTTATTGGTATACCATAATGTAGTGTTACCTATGCCCTTTACAGGTACCAAAAATCCACTTGATATTACGCTCCTGAAAATAGTTACTAGTATCTCCACGAACCCTTGCGTCTGTCAAACTTTTGCTTTAAAAATTAATATCTCAAAATCTATAACTCCTTAGGTATAGGGAATATTTAATAAAGTGACCCTCAAATTTCATGTAGAATTCGAAAATGCAATAATATATAGGGTGTTTCTTTTAAAATAACAAAGTTGGTGTCGACTTCCGGTATAACCGGTAATGCTGGAGAGTTCTAGATATTTTAGTTGTGCTCGCGCTAGGGACATTGTCATGTTGCCAAATTTTCAAATTTTTTTGTGCAGTACTTTCCTAGATATTGATCGACGCAGTTCTTGGTGGACACCCTGTAGAACTATAATTTCTGCTCAGAATCTTGTAACACATAACTATGAACTGAGGAAGATATAATTATATTACACTATTTATTCAACTTCCATAAATAAAATGTAAGAACTGTTGAAAAGGAAATAATGAATTTGATCTAAACATTTCTTCCACCCTGTATATTTATAGTCATTTTCCACATAAAGCTTGATACATCAGGTAAAATATTTACTAAGAGAACTAAATAATATAATTATCAAAGTATCATTAAGTAACTACAAAACTAAAGGGTATTATATTTTCAAAAATCTGCTTTATTATAATAAAAGTGGAGCTTTTACAGTGACACTCACCCCAGTAGTAAAAGTGATGGGAGAAGCAAGTGGATAGAGAATTCTCACTACCCCAGTGACAGTTCTCTATCTCTTCTCTATATACCCCCCCTCTACTTGCTCCTCGCACTAGTTTTACGCTACCCCCAATGAGAGCTCTATCTACCCCCCCCCTTACTACTTGCCCCCTCCCACCACTTTTACAACTGTAGTGGGAGTTAGAGATAGAACTGTCAAGATGGATTATTTTATTTTTTGAAACCGAAAAAACAAATTTGAAAATTCAAATACCTACTCTGACAACTGAACAGATCATATTCAATTCCAGTTTTGTTTTAATCTCAAAAGTAAAAAGTGGTTTTTTTATTTTTCCGTTACGTTGTAGTGGATGGGGATCTACATAAACCCTTTGATACCTTCCCACTATTTAATCGATGTCTTGCAGACTACCCCAACCCGGAGTCATTTTCATGGGAGGTCTACTTGAAGTTAACCAAGGCTGTGGCTGCTCCGGTACGGGCCTTCAAGCAGCGTCCCAGCTGCGGCTTCAAACGAGGCATGAGGCTCGAGTGCGTGGACAAAAGGGTGCCCCAGCTCATTCGGGTAGCCACGGTGGATGACGTCAAGGAGCATCAGATACGAATACACTTCGACGGGTGGTTGGATAGGTACAGTTACTGGGTGGATGACGACAGTCCCGATATCCACCCCATGGGGTGGTGTCAGAAGACGGGGCATCCGATAGAACCTCCACTGAGTAAGTTCCAAATAAATCTTAATTTTTATATGAAAGCTACATTTGACCTTTGGAAATACATACATTTTTTTGTAATTTTTCATACCCCGCCATTGGACAGGCTAGTATAACCTCAAACATACCCAACTGAGAGCTAGGGTATGCATTGTTGTCAAGTATTTCTCCTCTTTCCTGATTCGCATTTAAGTTATTTCATAACATTACACAGAAATTTTATAATGAAGACACACAAACACCGTATCACCTCTAAACTCCACTGATATAAATAACTATTATACAGGGTGATTCAGTCATAATGTCATTAATTTTAACCACGTATTCGGACAAAAGTCTCTGTCAGATTTTTTTCACCATTCAGGCATTCTCGATAGGATTGAGGTCAGAGGACTTTGAGGGCCAAGGTAAAACATGGCAGCATAACATTTTCCATTATGCGCACATAGCTCAGTCTAATGAGGCGTTCTTCCATCCTCCAACAAATTCCAGACCGTTGGCAGCTTATCCAAGCCTAAACGTTAATAGAGAATCTTCCTCTGAACTCTGTGGGTTTCACATAAGACTCCTAATACCTTGTGTTCTCTGGAGCAAGACTGAAAACTTTTCTCGTCCAGAAATACAAGTTGATTGGTCTTCCTACAAATTGTCTTGCAAACTCTAAACTCTGTTCTTTATGCTGGAGAGTCAAAGCAACTTTATTTGCGGCCACATAATTCTTCAGCTGCAAATCTTTCACCCGCTTTCTTGGAAATTTCGTCTCGAAGGAAGCCGTTACTGTCGGGTCAAAAGGATTTCTTCCTAGGTGGTCAAGGAATAAATTATCTTCTTCAACGGTGCTTACTTTTCGATGCCCACCGCCGTGAACATAACGCACGTGACCCTCCACATTCCATTTTTCTTTGAGTTTAAATATGCTGTTCTTGTATACATGCAGATCATCCACAACTCGTTGCAATGACCAACCATTCTGAAGTAAAGTTAAAGTTCTCACTTTCTCTAGTTCCGTTAAACGCGGCATCTTGAATTACCAAGCAAAGTCACTAATGACACTGACATGAAAAAATTTGTCATAATAAGAATCGTCCACTTTCAAAGGGCCGGCACTGTACTACAATTTGAATAAATAATTGAACATAACATTAAGAACTCATATTCATTATAAAACGTAGTAAAAATATGTTAACAATCTTAAAATACTAAATTGTATTACCTAACATTCGAAAACAATTATTATGCTTATACATTTGATTTCTTTAACAAATAAATAATACTTGTTAATATTTAAAATGTAAAATATATCTTATTCATTCGTATGTCTGGCTAAAAATTTATTCATTAAAAACATATTAAAAGCTAGGTTAATGACCGAATGTTACGGTATGTCAAGATTAACTCTCAATAAAGCTTGTCGGTCAGTGGTCAGGAGCGGTCCGAAAAGGAGTTTGAATAAAAAGGAGTTTGAATAATGTTTTGAAAATACTTCTTTCCAGCGTAAATATGCATTTTAAAATTATTTTAATCACATATTCGTATTCTACTCATGTTTTCCTATTTTCCCTTAATATTAATGACATTATGGCTGAATCACCCTACATAAATATTATTATGCACATACGTACACAAGACACTTCACTAAATACCACTTTAAATTTTACCGTAAAATTAAACTATTTCGAATCCAGTACTTTACACAGAAAGTCGTGAAATTACCTTCATGTAGACATATTCAGCCATTCTTATTTCATTGAATTAATGTTAGACGTCTGTTCTTTTGTCCTAGCACCCTTTTGTCATATCACATCAGGTGGATTGATATTATGTAGTTCCCCAAAATTAGGTCAGTGCCAGAGGTCATTCACACTGAGATTCTTAGACTAAACAATATTCTTTAAGAAAACAAACACTTTTTATTAAAAACTTAAAAACTTGAAATGATTTTAAATTTAATTTATGCAAGAAGTATTATTTTTCTAAAAACAATTGAAATTTTTTTCAAATGTTCAGTGCATTGTCAGCGTTGAAAAAAATATGTCTCTCTTCCATTCTATTAGTTTCATACAGTTGGTTTAAAATGGAAATAACAGGCTACACCGATAAGGGGACTCATACACAGGGTTACCAGATCTATTTCATGGCAGACCCGGAGACCCGTTTGTATAATTGTTGTTAGGGTATTTTAAAAACTAAATTATAATTTATTTGATTTAAAACAAATTAATTTCAAATTAGGTCGCATGTACGTAAAAGACTGATCTCCACTTAAAATTACCCCTTGTATATAAATTAAAATAACCATTTTAATAGATACCAGCTGAAACAATTCATATTCAATTTTATTGATGGATATTTATAATGTCTTTATTAATTTTTCAGCCCCTGACGATGTCTATGACTTTTTGGAGTGCCCCACAGTGGGCTGTAGGGGTCAGGGCCACATCAAGGGGCCCAAGTATGCCAACCACTCCACTCAGAAGTACTGCCCCTATTCCGAGGAGAATATCGATGCCGAAAGAGTATTACCCGACAGGTTGTTGAGTCCCGACCGCAGTCCCGAAGCTGTCGTGCCCATATCAAGGGAGCCCAAGGAGTGCAAAATGTAAGTGTTTGTTATATTGGCATTTGGGCATAAAAATCTTAAAATTAGGATGAGATATAAAAGTGAAAGAGTATGTGTTACTCCTCTGTAATGTGAACTACTTTCCTTACTCTTCTACTTTCTAAAAAAATTACTGGTTGTGTGTAGGTCAAGGTTCTTCTGTATTTGTATTCGAAGTCACATTTCCATTAAAAATTCAGTAAATGAAAGAAATAAATAGAATTTTATAGCACCTTTTGCCGCTATTATTATTAATTAATAAAATTAATTTGTGGTTTTACTTAATAAAATAATTTGACATAATAAAATTTTGTCCACCGACGTATAAACATATTTGGGTCCTTCTTACTTAGTTTCTACGAACTAACACAAAAAATGTTGTCTTGCTTCACCATAAATTAAAACGATATCCATCACCTCGGAGTTGCTATACACGCAAGCCATTTTTGACACTAACTATTAAAAAGCTATTGTAAACACTATCGCAACGACGATTGTAAAATCAGATTTCAGTATTCGGAGTCGCTGAGGCCACGTGGCTCTCCACGTGTGTTACGAATGACGCCTAGAGACTACAGTTGTCCAGCTATGTAACGGTTGAAAGTACTACAACTTTTTTTAAGGATTTTACAAAAAATTTGTTTACGATATTGACTCCATTTCTCATGCCGCATTTATTCCTAAATTTTTTTGATTAAGTTATGAATCACCCTGTATATATTGAAGGTGATTGGGGTCATATTTATACGGGGGCTACCTTTAATCTTTAGAAACGCATGTAAGTTTTATTTTGTGAAATTCTTTTGTAAAACTGAATTTTTTTTTTCGTAATTCCCGCCGCTGGACAAGCTAATATAACCTCAAAATAACAGTGTGTGGTAACATACCTGATTCGGAGCTATGGTATGCATTGTTGTCAAATCTTTCTTGATTTGTATACATATTTTTTCATATTATCACAGAAATTTAACAATAAAGAGACACAAACACACAGTACTGTTACTAAACTCCGGAATAAAGAGCATATGATTATACATTTACAGTATGTACATGAAATTTTAACTATAAAATTTAACTATTTCGATTGCAGGAAAAACTAATACTTCACAGCAAGTTAACTACTTTATCCATTGAAAACTGAAATAAACGTAATAAAATGAAGTGTTAACATATTTGGCCATTCTCTTTTTTGCAAATTTAACGTTGGCTGTTTGTTTTTTACCCAACTTATTGTACCGTTGTCATATCACATCAGATATATTGTATTGTTCACCTAAACTAGGTCAATGACACTAAGAATCACAGACTAAACACAGTTCTTTAAAAAATGATAGAAAATGCTTTTTATTAAAAACTTGAAATCATTTTGAAAAATTGCTCAAATCTATCAGCCTACTAAGTGTTTTCGTTTATTATGTACATTTTACAAATTAATAATAATAAAATAATAAGTAAAATATTTATTTTAAAAATTGAATTAATTTTACTTATAGATTTGTTTATAAACATTCGAATTTTTTTTAATGTATGGCGGTTTGTTACCATCCAAAAAATATGATGTCTTTAAAATAACACGTCTCAAAGTTATACATAAGCAAGATGTTTCTACAAAATTGTTTTCCTGTACTATTTCGCTTTCTGCCGTTTTCTTTGGTGTCATACGGTGGATTTAAAAAGTTAACAACAGATAACACTAATAAGTGGTCACATACAACTGAATTAATAGCTATAGATCCCACTAGAGTAGTAAAATATTTTGGTTAGGCAATCCACCAATATAGTCTGTTACGTGCTTCCGCGATATTTGGGGGTGGTTTTGTAGGGTTCGGGGAGGCTTTAGAGCTACGTGCCCATTGAGACTTTTGATCGACGTGTTGTGAACTCTCATTTTGCAGTTTCAAAAAAATTGGCCGGAACCTATTTTCCATAAGAAACGTGCGTGGTCCTTTTCCGGGAATATTTTTAACAATTTGTAAACTTGGAGCCAATTTACTTCTAACTTCTGTGAACATAACCTGAAAAAATCGTTTAATTTCGAACTTTTGGTTAATTCGAAATACCAGTCCATATCCAAATAAATCAAAAAACACTTACACTTATTTATTTTAATCTTTGTTAAGTCTACAATCTACATAATAGAGAGCAATACAAAATTAATAAATTACCTCCTTTTCAAATTTAAAATAAATTTTGATAGTTGAACCAAATTACATTTTAACACGTTGACTGCGAGATAATCTCAACATACTTTGTCCGTGACTGTGATACATATCTTCGGGGATATGTAACAAAACTTCTTCTGTGTGCGGTACATATCCCTGGGGATATGTAATTTTTTTTACATTTGACCCTATAAAATTAAAAATAACACAATTATTGCTATAAACTTGCATGTATCTGTAACTGTATATCCTAGGATACTAACGTTTTCATTCGCAAAGAGTTTTGAAAAGAAAATAATAGAAAAATTATTATTTCTAAAAAGTACAGATTCTGCAACTTCCACAAGATACAGTAAAAATGTGATTATTGAGATTCGCATATTTTTTATGAGTACATACCCCCCGAGGTATGTACCGCAGTCAACGTGTTAAAACAAGTATAATTATTTAATGTATTTACTATTTGTTTGTTAAAAATTAAAGATAAATAGAGTTTTGTATAATGTATACTGTATAGTGTTTACGCACTGCAACCTGCACCATGTAATTTTTTACTAACCGATGATAAATAATTTATACGAGGGTGGTCTGAAAAGTTTCCGACCTAACAAAGAAACAAGACATTTTTTCAGAATTTTTTTTTTTATTTTTCAACATAGTCTCCTTGTAACTCTACACACTTCTTCCAGCGATGCTCCCATCTCTGTAACCCGTCCAAATAGTACTCGGCGTTTTTCTCTGCAAAATAATTGTCCACGAAGGTGAACGGATCGTTCATCATCTCCCAAGCTCTTACGTCCACGTTTAAATTCAGCTGCCCAAAATTTCACTGTGGTAAATGATGGTGCAGAGTCTCCATACACAGAATCCAACTCATCTTTGATTTGCGTAGGCGTATTTCCTTTCAAAAACAAATATTTAATGGCAGCTCGATACTCGATTTTGTCCATTTTCATAAAAACACTCACATCAACTCACTCAAACGACTGTTACATAACAACTGCGTGTCCAAAATAGCTGAAACTTTGGTGAGTAACTGTCAACAGATGAACAACGAAATTCACTAGCTTTTATTTATAAGGCTGCCATCTTCATGTTGAGATCGGAAACTTTTCAGACCACCCTCGTATTTTTCCAATATTTATACCAACATAAACAAAAATGTCTAAGTATTTGGTCTTTTTGGAAAGCTGATGGTATGTAGGACACAATACCAAATCCAAAAAATATTTTTGAAAATTTCGGAAAATTTCCGGAATTTTCTATGGAACTTTCCAGGAATGTTCCCATCTCTAGTTATATTGTTAAAAAACTTTATTTTTTTCATATTTTTTAGTCAAGAGACTATATGGCTTTATTGGAAAATATTTTTTATTATCATATATTCCATTTTAATAGCAACACCCTATGTATGTCAAGACTTGATTTGCAACTTTTATTGCAAAATATCAATGTCAGCAATAAATTATAATTTTCATCAGGTTTGCATGAATATGCTGTTATTTCAGTCAATAATCACAGTTGTCAAACTTGTCGAAAAGAAATCCATTACTTTTTATTTGTTGTTGCAGTAAGCCACGTTTGGGAAGGCCGCCAAAGTACCTGCGTCTGGAGCAGCCAAAACCCGCCCCCGCAGACGAACCCCCAGAGAAGAAGCCTCGAAAGAAGGAGAAAAAACTAGAATCTTCCCCCATTTCAGAAGCGGCAGAACAGAAGGCGATGCTGCTCATCGAGCAGTCGAAGATCCTACCGGCAGAGAGGGAATCGTGGCTCAGACACTCGCACTTCCTCAAGAGGTACATCACCACGGACGTGGACCCCCGGTCGTGGTCGAACGGTGAAGTGGTGGACTTTATTACTTCCTTACCGTGTTGTGAGAACGACGCGAACTTGTTTAAGCGCGAGCAGATAGACGGAGAGGCCCTGCTGTCTCTCAGCCAGAAGGACATTTTATCAATTCTGAACATTAAGGTGGGGCCTGCGGTGAAGCTATACAATAGCATAGTTTTATTGCGGCAGCACGTGGACGAGAAGGTTTTTACGTAATGACAGAAGTGATATTTTACCGTTTGCTTTGTTTATACATTATATGAGCAATTGTTAAATTTATTTTATTTAGAAAATGTAAATTATTGTATAAATATGGAATATTATAAGTTTTCATTTTTTAAATGGAGTTTTATTTACTTCAAGAAACCAGGTATTTAAAACATATAAAGGGTAATACATTAGCGGTATGGAGCAGTTGTACATAGGAAACTAGCCGTGCTGCAAAAATATTTTCAAGTTTGGAACTTCACCGCTAGAGGGCGCAACTGGTATAGTATTACAGAAAATTGTCGTTTTTTCAAAATTTCGCTTATATAACCTTAGTTGAAAATACACTTTTTAGATACACTGTTAAAATCTTCAGCACATTCAGAAAACTTGACTTGATCGTCATCGAGCACATGGATTTCGATAACTTCAGAAGGCTGTAACTTCAGAACGGTAGTTTTTCAGACCTAGGTCCCATGGACTCTTTTGATTGACACATTGAGGACTATCATTCGGCAAAGTGTTATACCATTCGACCGGGACCGGTTTTCCATAAGGATAGTTGCGGGGTCCTTTTTAAATTGTCATAAAATAATTTTTTCTTGTTTAATTTTGCGCTTTTCCTGAAGGGTGTCGGGCGTCTCTTATAAGGCTACCTGCGCTGTGAACATACTTGCTCGGAAGGTACGGCCTACCTTCTAAGCTATTGATGTATAACTTCTACTCTAATGCACTCATAGATGTCGTTAGGGAGTATGCGTACAATTCAAGCAGTCAAATTTTGTATTTTTTTCTTTGTCTCACTTTAAAACTTTAAACGCGTTTTTCTCGAAATACGCCTTTTCAAAACGGCACCATATATTTAAAACAACATTTTGAAAAGAAACACCTACGTACATTTTTCGATAAGTTAATTTAAACAGTTATAAACAAATGGCTGCCCTTTTCTCGTCAAAACTTGAACGTTTTACTTCAAACACTTGCCAATTTTACAAAAAACAATATTTTTACAATCCCGTACCTGTTTCTCTAGCTATACCCATGAGATTAAGAGCAATTTTTTTTTTATCTTGAAATTTACTAGTTATAGTATGTGTCGCGGAACGCCTCGACGGCAACATGCTTCAGGAGAATAGCTTCAGTGCCACCATTTTGAAATATTTTTTAATGAAAAAATTCTTCTGTACACTTAAATACATGCCTACTTAAACAGTTTTTTTTCTCTTACCTTTCCTTCTATAAAAAAAATGTCAAAGACACGCTTTTTTTAGGCCGTTAAAGTGGTGTAACCAGAAGAAACGACGGCCTATTTTAAAGAATAAAAATATTACTTTTCTGCGCAACGGTAGACGACGCTAATCAGAAAAATTTTGTAATTGTCTCCGTTTACTGTTTACTAAAAAAATTAAATGAATAGATATAGGTTTTTTTTCATGGCTTGTTAGACCATTTATTGGAAAACATATATACAAACAGGAGGCCAATATCTTTTTTGTTTTCAAGTTATTGCTAAAATAGTGAAGTTGTGCTGGAACATCCTCCTTTATTTAGTTCCCTAAATAACATTGACATACTTAGTCCAAGCCAAAATTAAATTGTAAAACTATACCAAGCTTGTTTTTAAAACTTGCTACATTTTGAAAATTTTTTAATAACTGCAATGAGTCCAATGATTAATTTTTTTATTAACTCCAAATATCTGAGTATTTATAAAGATTGTTGTTGTAATGTAACAAATGAAAAATTATGTCAAACGAACTGTGACAGCTCTTGCTTCGTGCAAAATTAGTATCACTTGTGTGAGAAAAGTACTTTTGTTCCATATGAAATTCCCAGGTATCTAACTAATTTCCTAACACTTATTTGGGGTTTTACATGGACACGAGCCAACACATTAAGAATATTATCTTCCGTTCTTGCACTGCAATGTCTTCTTACAGAATGTAGTGGCGTCTGGCTAAACGCTGAAATACTTCTCTGGTGTGGCATATTCTATACATATTCTCTTAAAGCTGTAATGGCATTTTTTAAACATTGAAAATAAACTGCCAATATATCATGCGCTTCCAAATTTGTAAAAAGCACTTTTCCAAAACTGATAACACTGTAGGAAGAGCTGTCACATTTCGTTTGACATAATTTTTCAGTTGTCTATTTTCATAGGGCATAGCCTGCCTCGTTGGAAACAATAATCTTTATAAATACTCAGATATTTGGAATTAATAAAAAAATAAAAAATTGTACCTATTAAAAAATAAAGCAAGCAGTACTTTTTAAGGACAAGTTTGGTATAATTTTACAATTTAATTTTGGCTTTGATTATGTCAATGTTATTTAGAGAACTAAATAAAGGATATTCTAGCACTATTTTAGCAATAACTTGAAAACTAAAAAGTTATTGACCTCTGGTTTGTGTATTTGTTTTTCTTAATGAGTGGTCTATTAAGCCATGAAAAAAAACCTGTATCGATGCATTTAATTTTTTTAGTAAACGGTGACAATTACAAAACTTTTTTTATTAGCGTCGTCTATCGTTGCACAGGAAAATATTTTTATTCCCATATCATAAATATAAATTTTATTAATAGTTCTTTAAAATGATGATCATTTCTTGAAACCGAAGACATTTAGAAGTTATGACAATTTAAAAATTTTAAGATGGCATCCTTCATACTGGCATTGCTATGGTAATAACAAAATAAAAGTTCAAACAAAACTTGTGAAGAGTTTAACAGTGTATCTAACAGCGTATTTTCAACTTAGGTTATGTAAAGGAATTTTGGAAAAATGCTAATTTTCTATAGGAGTTGCACCCCCTAGCGGTGAAGTTACAAACTTGAAAATATTTTAAATCAATTTCATTTGGCCGTGTTAAATTTTTTACCCTATAATTGTAGCACGTCTAGATTCCTAAGTACACCGCTCCGTACCGTCAATGCATCACCCTGTATATACGTTTTCAGGCTACAGCCTAAGATTTCTCTGTCTTCTGTCAACAAGAAGTGCACATAATGGTAAAATAAGAATTATGAGCCCTATCAGCTACATGTTCAGAAGAGCAATAATTTTTACAATAACTTTATATCATATAGCTTTAGAAAAAAGGTATTCTACGTCAGCATCCTCATTTTACATCCATTTTAAACATTTCGATGACTAAAGTGCAGAAACACCTCTTGTTGAGACACTGTTCAAGTGCTTTTATATCAGAAATATATACTGATAACACATATCTACTGCTAATCTCGAAAATCGTAACAGTTGTAAGAAACGTACTTCAGTTTCAATTTCGTGAGGGTAAATATAGCATAGAATTATTTTAGATTTTTTCGAGGCCTATGACATTTTCAGAAAAATCCATGAAAATTCGTCAAAATTTCCAAAATTTAAATTCTCGATTCATAGACGGCTCTGTGGGCAATTCGATCCGCCGAACACGCAGGGATGATTAGTTTTTGCTTAAGAGCTTTTGTTTAAGGAGGTTTATCGGGTACGGCTAAAGTCAAATGAGAGTTTCTGTAGATTCGCTAGTGACTTATGTAGTAAGCCCTCAGATTTGGCAACGTTGCACTTGGCTGGTGCACTCGGCTCGGCGTTCACTCGCTTGCGTACGATCATTCTATTTGTTTGGATGCCTAAGCTTGAAATATACATCATAATGTCACACCAGCGAATTTCAAATAAAAAAAATCTGCATTCTCATAAACTTCGTACTAAATCGTGAAAAATTGTTTTATTAATATCTCGACTCTTAGGTATTCAAACTAGTTATTATTATTTACGAATATTTGTTTGTCAATTCCATATCAGATAAACCTCCTTAAGAAATAAATCGAATATCTCGAAAACCCTAGTAGTAAGAGAGAAACTAATTTCTGTAAATAAGATTCATGAGAGTAGATAGTATAGGGGAATTATTTTAGACTTTTTCGACGCCTGTGGCATTTTCAGGAAAATCCTCGAATGTACTGGAACCTTTTTATTTAGAAAAAAAAAAACTTACCGTTGGTGTTCAATGGAGAGTGCCGCTAATTATAAACAAGGGAACTTTTATTTTTGAACTTGTAATTTACGTAATACCAAATTGAAATGAAAACAAATCGGTTTCAGTTAACTTTTACTTTAATTCATTTGTAGGAATGTCAGAAATAACACATGGTATTTTAATGTCTTGTTTATTTGGAAGACATTTCTTGTTATTAAAATCAGTATAAATTGTTCCAATACGATTACAGTTATTTTTAGGGGTATACAGAGCGTTTTGCACTTGATATAAGCATTTTGAGTGGATCCTATGTTACAAGAGTTCGGATTAAAATCCTCATACAGGGCGACGTAACTTTACCTTAACAAAAAGAAATACCCTGGGTTCTCTTCAATTTTATTCAAAATTAATACTGAACCATAAAAGTAAAGGTTAAATAAGAAATGATTAAAATGAATAATCTATTTTTCACTTTATAAATAGAACACATTTGATTGCTTTATAAATTATATAAAATACGTGTATCATGATAAGTCAACATCGTTACAAACAAAATTATACAATCAATAAAAATAAACGTTACAAGAAATTGAAATATTACAGGTGTGTAGTGAAAATTCTCGTTCACTCGTAACTTTAAAACAATTAAAATTAAACTAAAAACAGGGTGATCGTAAAACTTTTCCACCTCATTTAATATCGTAGAAGAAAAAATGGGCGACTCCTCAAACAAAATAAACATCAAAACAATATCACAAAAGTTCTTCGACTGATTAAATAGAACCGCCCACAAAATAATAATTTTTTTTTTTGGTAAACCTCGTACATATTTTTGCGATCACCCCATATCGTAACAATAATTAATCTTGGCTAGTAATGCAACCTCGGGGCCTCAGTGATGCATCGAAAGGATTAAAACTGTATCAACTATTTATATATATAATCACGCTATGTATTTACAACAAGTGGTTTCTTAACGGAAAGGAAAAAATTTACATTCACTATTTATAATGATCATAATTAATAATTAATAATAATAATAATAAAAACTTTGTGTAATAAAAAATCACTTATGTACAAAAACAATTACACAATATCTGCACGTTTATGGTCCGACACAGTCTGAGTCCATAAACTTTTTCATTTCTTTTTTTTATCTTAAAAAGCGATTATGGGAAAGTTGATTTCTACGGCTACGCCCATCACAGTAATTTGCTTTTCTTCTAATACGCCTTGCAATCGTCAAGGCCTATGGAATCTGCAACAATACAGAGTCACATGCAATACAAATATTAAAAAAAAGAACATTTATAGAAGATGTGCACAAATACAGAGAAGTAATTCTTCAGTCTCAGGCGATCGGATCATTTTTAGCTCCTAGTAAATTAAATTTGGTTAATTAAAAACTTACTAAAGAAAAGACTAGCCGTCCAGTATATATGTTTGCACCACATTGAGAATTTGCGAAGTAAATTGAGATTAATGTACTTTGTCTACGACTCGTATGTATTGATCGTTCCCATATGAATCCATTAAATTTCTTTATTTGTCAATTTTAATTGACGCATCTGGTGATCAAATTAAAATGAGACAAAAGAATTTATAGCTTTCTTTAATATCATTAGAGTTTTTTAATTGATGCTAGTTTCACTTTTTTGTTAATAATGATTAAGCAATTACACTTATAATAAAAAAACACAACAAAATTTTGGAGTTAACTTCCAGAAAGGAGAAGCTAGAAAAAATGGATATTGTATATTATAGGCACTATATCGATTTTTTTCGACATATCGACATGTCGACATCGACATTTTTCCTAATGCACCATGAAGATCTCAAGTATCTTAGAAATAATCGCGTCAAATAAGGGCAAAATATTTAATTAACAATATTGTAGGGAACATCTATGCAGACTAAAGCCTCAACTAGCATTTAATTATTTCCGCAATGTCTAGTATTTACTATTATTACATTGAGCTTTTTAGGTTATTTTTACTCAAATTAAGAGTGAAGTTGCAAATTTTATTACAAATGACATGTCTAAGAGATATCTATCTTTACCTATCTTTTTTTTTGACAAAAAATTGAATATTTTGTTTGCTTTGAATGTTTTAATTAAAAATGCACTTTTTAAACTCATCATTAGTAGGACACTTCAGATATGTAGCTTTGATGCCTATCAGCTCGGAGAAACAACATTCTACTTTTGTTTTCTATGGACGCCATATTGGATTTTTGATTTTTTTTAATTCAGCTTATTTTTCTAATTACGACGATGTGTCCTATGATATGCTTTGCTTTTTTGTTTTTGGTGCTAAACTTTCCTATTTTACAAAGAGGGCTTTGACAAAAAAATTATTACTCCAAATAAAACTTTGACAGCTCAGTTAAGTTTTCATTGACACAGTGGCGGCTCGGCAGGTGACGCAAGTGACGCAACTGCTTCACCTAAAATTTCTGTTTGGTTATGCAATTTGAAATTATTTTTAATTTTATATAAATTTTAAAATTTAAGTATAATTCTACATCGAAAATGTACTGTGTTTGTTTTATACGCAGAAATAAACAGTTGCGCAGTGACTGTTTTCTAAAAAACCATTGCCTTTGTCGAGAACAAACATCAACCTCGTACCATATAACGTATAGTATAAGCAAGTGACGCAGAACAAAATCAGTTCGGAATGAATGGTATTTGGAGTATAAGTGGTTGTGTGGAAGTGTTTATTAAAAAAAACTTTTCTGTATACAGTGTTTAATTTTGTTTCTATTTTTTATAAAATCTAAATGAAAATCATTCTCGCGAATGTCAGTTTTTCAGTAATATTGCAAATGCAACTAAAAATTTCCAGATTTATTTAAAGCCTTTTGACCTTGAAAATTTGAACTTTCGCCTGCGCTGCTTTTTTACTTTTTTTAGCCAGTTAATGAATATGCTTCACCTATTCTTAATGTCACGAGCCGCCACTGCATTGACATTAATATTTAGAGAACTCAAATCGCAACTTTTACATGTAGAAGAGTTACAAATGATTCAAACTTATTGATTTTTTAATTTGAAGCATATATGGTTTTCTTCACTGCCAATTGCGATTTTAATTCTCTAGACTTGGACGTCAACGAACATTTAACTGAACTGTCAAAATTTATTTTCGAGCGATAACTGGATGTTTTGTTTTCAAAAGTGGATATTTTGCTATTTTGACAGAAAACAAACAGTGAACCGTATCATATAACACATCATCGCAAACACAAAAACGTGCTGATCGCTAAAATGCAATATGGCATCCATAAGAAAAACAATAGTTGCACGTCGCTTCTCTATCGTGGTAGACACCACGGCTGATTACATATATGAATACCCCGCAATAAGGTATCCTAACAAAGTCCGAGTTAAAAAATTTTCTCTTTCAGATTTCAATAAAAAAAAAAAATTATAAGTTTTTCCTTGGTAACTTTAACACAGAAAATACTTACACGTGTTAAAACAATGAAATTAAAAGTTTCGGCACGTTATTCGTTATAAAACCTTCATCCTAATCGGATTGACCTCATGGTACAAATAAAAAAAAATGTATATTTTTAAAAATTAACTTTTATAAAAGCAATTCTGAATCACTAAACTTTTAAGACCAATATTACTTCAAACGTTGAACCTTCTGAATATTATTATTTTTACTTATCAATTATTCAGTACATTTAGTATAATAGGTAATTGAATCACTGTTCTAAACAGTATTTGTTTTATCCTGTTTGTAAATCGCAAAAAAATAAATATATACAATAGCGACATTATTGCCTTTAGGGAATTTTGTGTTAATCATTGCCAATAGTGTCAATATGGTTGCGTAACATCCACAACCCTGAGACTTGAGAACTGTTGAAGGGCCAATACAAAAAAGGCAGATTTTATTTTTTAGTGGCATTTAAAAATGTAGCATTAGAAACATGAAAGGAATTTATTACTCTTATATTCGTTATAATTCATAAATTTGAGAGTAGGTACGCAAGAAGGCATTTAGAAATTTTGTATCGGGCTCACATAACCCTAAGTAGGTATATTTCTTTCTCCCGAGATATTTTAATTGAGACTGTTACAAAAATTTCATTTGCTTTGGAGTGAGCTGGTTTGTTCGTGTTAATTTTTACCCATCACTCTAACAGAAACAAAAACGCCACAGGAAAAGGAAAAATCACATAAGCAAAGCCAAAGTTATATTAAATATTTCATAATTTCGAGTAGGCATACGATATATAGGAAATTCTCTCAACTAGTCACGTACAACTTACTAGTCCAAATTAAACCGTAACATCCCTGTAGTTATAACTTTAAAGTTCACAACTTTCTTCCTTTCTTTAAGCCAAGTGTTATGTCACCTTTTCCTACATTTATACCCATGCCAAACCCAACTCCATGATAAAGTACATATGTCTTAAAAAATTATTCCTATTACGAGTCTTTGTAAATGACCACAACTCGCAATTTGGACGGAATCTTTTTCCTTTGCGATATCAAATTGTATACTAAATGCCTCTGCAGCAGGGGACTAGCGCCCCCCTCGATACTCCTCTTTCTAGATTTGATCACTATTCTAGTTCTAACTTTATGTATGCTGCAAAAAAGCAATCAGTTAATTCTTCGATTTTAGTACACATCGAGATTAATCCCCAAACCCTTTGTCAAGCTATCGACAATAACAATCCTAAATTTGAACACGTAAGTTAAGTGAGAGTGTAAGTACCGTGTCAGATGCCGACTATCCTCGTGCACGGACATCTCCGAGCTCTTGAACTCGTTTAATTCCTTCCTGATAGCTGCCTTGTCCTTCGGCGTCAATCTGGTCCACGGCTTGTCGGCCCGCCTATCGTAATCGTGGGCCTGTGTGACCTCGATGTAGTCGTTGAAGCGGATGATCTTCTTCTCCTTCAACTCCTCCACCGTCGGCCTGAAACTGAGCTTGCGCAACAGGAACCTTTTCTTCTCCTCTTTCTGCTTCTTCTCCTCGGCGGGACTTTGCTCTGAAAAAAATTAAACAATGTTCCTTAATTTTTGTTACAACTATCGCAATAATATTAGAATTTGGCTAATTACTGTGATTTTGAAAAAACTAAGAATTGTTTTTAAATTTGATAATTAAAATAAATTTTCTCTAAAATTAAAAATCTTTCAGTACAGGCTGTATAATATTCCAAACAAAAAAAAATGTTACAATTGCAATTTTAAAAAATTTTCTGACAATTTGAGAAATTTCACAACAATAAATTTATAAACTACGCTTCGAAACTTACTTTTCAAAATATTTCTCTCTTCCAGCTCCTCCTGTGTGGGTCTCATGCTGAGTCTCCGTATGAGCCTGGCGCCGATCGCCTCCTTTGCTTCCTGCCTCTCATTGTCCGACTGGATCTGCAGTATGTTCCTGTTGATGAGCTCCTGTCTGTCTGGCCTGAGCGCTAGTTTGAGCGACAAACTCTCCTTCCTGGCTATCTTCAGTGCTAGTCGGCTTTCTTCTGACATGTTATCTTCGTCCCTGTATGGTATAGGTCCGTCGTTCGAATCACTGTCGCTCTCGTCTTCTCGTATCACGAAGGGTCTGGCGTTTTCTTTATTTTCGATTGTGACCGGCAAGCCAAACCGAACCGGTTTTCCGCTACTACAATAAAATGGAGTAATAATTATTTAATTGTAGAAATCGTATTTTCATAATTTAAAAATCTGGAGAAATCGACAAATGCAAACGTTTCCTTTTACTAAGATGTTTGATAATAATGGAAAGCGTTAACTTCTGTTGATTTTAATGTTGGGACTGAGTCATATAAAAGCAAAACATGAAAGTGAGCTTTAAAATTATGAAAATTTATAGGAAAAACCGATTTATGTGAACTAATTGATATCCTATTAAAACTAAACACAGTAAAATTCAAATGTAATCTGTTTTCCTATACATTCTTTCGAACTTCAAAATAAAAGTGTTACAAATGGCTCCTACGTTAGTCACAGTTTAAAAAAGTAAGGAAATAACACAGTGGAATATAGCTATGTACAGCCAAACAGAATTGAACATGTTTACAACAGTACTGCAATTTATCAGGAACAGATTATACAAATATTATGTGAGAGGTATTGTTTGTATAACCCGATTTGACGAGAAGCATCTGATGTGTTTTACATGAAAAAGGAGTGGTTGCAAAACTAATTTTATGGTCACACCCACTTTCCTGCCAAAGCTGTTCAAACAAATGCTATTTCATAATTGAATTTTAACAATCACAATTAGCAAAAATGATCGTCAGTTTGGAATTTACATAATTTTTTTTATATATATAAATATGGCAGAAATGTGGACCAAAACGTGTTTTTAAAATTAAAAAAAAACCGCTAGGTAAGAAAATCCAAAAAAAATGTAACGTGATGAGGTGAGTTAACAAGTAATATTTACCATAGCCTTATCCGAGGCCTAAGATGTGGCCTTCTGGTTGGAAAAAATAAAATAATACGGTATTAGAAACAAGGAAGTACCAATTCGTGACATACAATAAAGAATATATTACACGATTAGTGAACATAAACATTTATAACAAAAAGTGTAATAAACAATGTGTATACACTTGACATATGTTAGTGTGTGCGTATGTATGTATGTATTGGTGTTTCAAAATATCACTCAAATAGACCCAAGAAGAAAGGAGGAAGAAGAAAAACATTACTAAATTTTCAAGTTTGTGTAAAATAAATATCTTCATTCCTCCCCTTCACATAAAACTTACTTGAATGTTTTCATAAGACCTTAGGTGCCATTTTATTGGAATATTTATTTAATTATCTTATACAGGGTGGTCCGAATTTTATGCAGAAAACTTCGAGGACAGATAGATCTCTTTAAAATAATAGGAGTTTGCCTTATAAACATAGGTCTGGAACGGCCTCGTTTTAGAGATACAGGATATTGAAGTTGTTAAAAAAAATTATTTTTTGTTTATATCTCAGGAATATATTAACCGATCTCCATAAAATTTGGTACAAATAATGTACGATAGTAGGCCTTGCATTCTCTAAAATATGAGCTTCCATGTAATGCAAATGCGTAATGCATTAATTAAAAAACCTCATAAAAATAAATTTATTTTCCATTTTTGAAGTTGTGAATGAAAAGGTCAAACACGTAGATTCACAGAAAATCAATTTAAATATGTGGTAGTAACTGATATACTTTCATTTATATTATTTTTATTTATTTAAAATTTCTAAATTAATTAATTTAATTTATAGTAAATGAAAAAAGAAATGACAATTTTGAAAAAACATTAATTTTTCAAATAAAAAATCATAGGAAATTGTAATTTCCAAATATGATTATTCTTATTTACATTTTATTAATTTATTATTTTAATTCAATGAAACATTTTTTACAGCTTCATATGCAGTTTAATTATCATGTTCATGGTCTGTGCAGGGTTATTATTTACATTCTATCCCTTAACTTTTTTACTTTTATATTTAGAAAAACAATTGAATGATGCATTTTGGATATACATAAAAATATAAGAATCACGAATAAAGAGTTGTGAGGCCAGAGGATATGCAGAATTACAAATTAAAATATGAGGTAAAAAATACACAAATTATTTTTTTTATGCTGGTTTAACAATTACATAATTATTATACATTATATTAAAATAAAAACATTTATATGGTTGATCGAAATGAAATTTTCCATCATCCATTTTATGGGGCATTCCAAGCCAAATCGACCACTTTTAAACCTGATCCCTTTCGATTTGGCTGAAACTTTTTTTATTGTTTTCTACCCCATTGACCTTTGAAAATTTCTTCAAATTTTTTTCACTGCTTTTTTTAAATAACCATAACTTTTTCAAAAATTGAGTTATCGGGATGTCTTTTTTTTAATTTTTGTTTTAAATGTACTTTTTGAAGAAAATAGATCAAAATTATCTGGACCTATGTTCACTGTCTTTTTTTAATTTTCAAAAAAAACGAAGATTTCTCGATTGCCATTTCTGAAAATTTTTTTTCTTATAAAAAACTTTTGACAATTTTTATAAATCCTCAAATTTTTTCAATAGTGTATTTTCGTTTTCAATTTTTTTTTATCGATTGAAAAAAATTTTTTTTCAAATTTAGCTTATTTCACATACCATTTTGAAAATTTTTGAAAATGTGTATAGAATCCCAAAAATGAAATTTATTCTATGCAGCGATTGACGACAATTTCAAAAAGTCAAAAGAGTATGGTTTCAAAATGATTTATTTGAGTTCAAATATATGCGTTGCATGTCTTTTTTTAAAGACCACTGTTCGTCCAAAAATGGACCAAATAACAACCTTTTTTTTAATTTTCTTTGTTTTTGGTTGTAGTTTTCGAAAAAAATACAAAATAATTATTCACAACGATCTTCTATTTTTTTCTTAACTTTAAAAAAAAAATCGAAATTTTTTTCATGTGTACCACTTTCAATTTCTTTTATATTTTTTTTCAATTTTGGAATTCTATATACCTTTTTCAAAATTTTTTAAATGGTGTTATGTGAAAAAAGCTAAATTTGACAAAAAAATTTTTCAATCAATAAAAAAAAATTTTCAATGAAAAAACCACTGAAAAAATTTGAGGATTTATAAAAAATGTCAAGGTTTTTTATAAGAAAAATATTTTTTTTCAAAAATGGCAATCGAGAAATTTTCCTCTTTTTTAAATAAAAAAAAAAACAGTGAAGATAGGGTCCAGATAATTTAGATCTATTTTTTTTCAAAAAGTACATTTAAAAACAAAAAGATGTGCAATAATCTAAAAAGGGTGTTTTAGTACAGTCCTTGAAATGTTCACTACTTGTGGACAAATTATATATTGTTATTACCTTCTATTTCATTGAATGTGATATTGAAGCTCGTGTATATTTTATTTTGTAACTCTAAAATGTTATTGTTTTTCCAAGTATCTGAAATCAGAAGAAAATTTCTGAAACCATTTTTTCATATAGTATTTTAAAAGTACGAAAGTAAAAAAGATAATGGGGTAGAATGTTTAGTGTACAACCCTGCAAAAGTTGGAACATGCTTTATAAAATTGGCCAATACTTTATTGAATTTATTTGATATTTTACGCTCACTATGCAGGCATAATTTGTCTGGATATATTACCATAAATAAGAAAGAGGCGGGGAACTTACTTGAAGCTGGAATTGTGTTCCTGCTGACGCATGGTGAGCGGCCTGTTTTCCTGTGTGGGAGTGTTCTGTGGCGTCCCGGGGCCGCTGCCGCCCTTCTTCTTCAGAGCCGACTTGAGCGGCATGGCGTGGAACTTGGGCTCCTTGGCAGGTATCTCGTCGATCCGGCTGGTGTCTATAGACGGATCCGGCTGCGGCATCCTGTACATGTACGAGTGATCGTCATCGTAGTCTATTTCATCGTCATCGTCCTCATCGTTATCTGCAAATGTTGACATCACATATTTCAGTTCAGGCTTGTAACTAAATGCCCAGTATTTTAATGTATATCCGCAAAGTAAATAATTTCAATTGTAAGTACATACAGGGTGATTCACAACTTATCCAAAAAAATTTGGGAATAGATGCGGCATGAGAAATGGAGTCAATATTGTAAAAAAAAAATTTGTAAAATCCTTATAGATTCTGAGAAAAAAATTATTGAAGTTATAGCACATTAAACCACTACATAGCTGGACAACTGTAGTCTCTAGCATCATTCGCCATGTGGCCTCATCGACTCCAAATACTGAATTCGGATTTTGCAATCGTTGTTGCGATATTTACCTGTTATCTGTGGTTTTTATAATACGTTTTTAGTAGTTGGTGTCAAAAATGGGTAGTTAGTGTCAAAAATGGTTTGCGTGTACTCGGAGTTGATGGATATCGTTTTAATTTATGGTGAAGCGTTTGTGTTATGGTGAAGCAAGACATCATTTGTGTTAGTTCGTAGAAAGTAAGTAAGACGGACCCAGATGTGTTTACACGTGAGTGGATAAAATTTTGAACAATTGCTGTTGCAGCATCGGGTATGTCAAATGATTTTATTATTTAAAAACACAAATTAATTTTATTAATAATTAATAAAGGCAAAAGCATTTGAATTTGCCGATATAAAATAGATGCGATAAAATTCTATTTACATATTTCTTTCCTTGCGAAAGTTTTTGTTGGTTTTTATCACGCCGCCATACCGGTCGCATTGTGCGAGGTCAGGTTTTACAGTGGACCAGTTTCCAGTGCCGTGCAGAAGTGTATTTTTAAATCAATTTCGAACTGACCTTTTTGATTTTTTCTTTACAAAATTGTATTTGTAAGGGTCCCCTGCACATCCAGAATTTTTTTTGGATAAGTTCTGAATCACCCAGTATAATGATATAATATTTGCACAGTATATTATTTAATGATGCACAGTAAAATATTAATAAATCTGTACCTCCGAGCTAAACTGTATTAAATCCATTTTTTGCAAAGAACAGTATTAACTCCATCTATTTTCAAGAAAAATAAACATAGGTGTTGATCAAACCTGTTTCAATAAAACTAGTATGTATAGACTCAACTAATTAATCTCTTTTAACCATCTGACAAAAAACAATGAAAGCGCTATGTACAATTAATTGAGATCAAATTTTATAAATAGCTCTCCTGTCTAAATGGAAGTTAATACAGTTTAGCTCTGAGATACTGAAATGGTTAGGTAGTTTTATTTTACTTGTTCAGTATAATAGATGCCAAGTATAATACAGAAATGCACAGTATTGTCAATCTGTGATCACATATTTTAAAGCACATATCGTTATATAAAAAAATATGTCATTGTTGGTTGTAAACGAATCTTTATTTTTGAACCTAAGATTTAGGGATTTTTCATTGAAGTTTGGCAGTATTTATTAAAGTCTTTTGTAATGGTACAGTATGTTACTATTCTTCATTGTGTAATCAAGAAAAATGAGATTGACAACAATGTATACTGTAACTTGCATTCGTGGTTCGAGCGGGGGTTGTTTGAGGTTCTGTCTAACAGCGGGACAGGAAAAAAGAAATTAAAAAAAATCAATTTTTGTAACGGAATTTGAGAAAATAAACTTATACGTTTCTAAAGATCAAAAATCTCTCTCCATATAAATATGACTCACTTACTACACCTTGTATACTGGAAGATATAGGTAACTTATCTAAAAAAATATATGTAATACTGTGAAAATAATTCGTTGCATTTTTTTTATTCAGTAAATTTATGTTACCTTCATAGTCGTATTCGTGGTGACTGGGCGGCGGCGACAGCCTGTTGGGGATGGGACTGGGGGAACTAAACATGGGGGGCGGCGGGATAGGTCCAATCTCTGACACGGGAATAGGCGGCTCGGGCAGTTCGGAAAGCATGAAGCTTGGTACGACCAAGGGCGGTGGGTGCGGGGGAGGGATGTTGTGAAGCTGCTTCTCGTGCGGGGGTGGCGTGCTGCCCGGTCCTCCCGACTGACCATCGTTGACTGCAAGAAAAACGGAAACTATATGAAAAAACAGATTGCCTAATAAACATTTTTTATAAAAGCTGACCCCCAGAACACATGTGTACCTACAGGGAGTTTGTCACTTAAAAAATTGTTATCGGTAATTCTTAGCCACCCATTCATAAAACAGTAAATTTTGGCCCAGATAAAAAAATTAAATTATTATGATTATTATTATTATTATTTTTAGAATTAGTGGGATGATTAATTAATTTAATATTAATCATAATTTGCATAAAATATTTATACATAATTTTGATTTTTAGGCATCTTGTACACAAAAAATAAGCACAAATATTTAATTATCAAGTCAGATGAGATGATTTATAAAAATTTACGTATTAGAACTATTTTTCTCGTATCTTTAGTGACATACGATTTCGATTCTATGATTGCAACAGATATGAACATTTCATCTTACGATCAATAGAAAGAGAAAATTATATTTTGTTGCTAAGTACTGTATTTTAGACACAAATCTGTATTTGACCTACGATGGCCAAATCTAAGGCTTGTGATCATAGTTGACATACATCGGCATAAAAACCATAATAACAAGCATAGTTGTCTGTAGTAGTTGCCTCTAAATATTTTCTAGTTGTGGCTGTAGATTTACATTTAAAAATTAGCCACTATTATTGGCCATTGTTGGCACTGCCAACTTACCCACATAAGATAATTATGAATGTAAATGTAATTAATGTTCCTGATTCTGATTCGTTTCATAAGTGCATCTTCATTCCTATACTATTTATGAGTACTTTATGTAACATTTTATATAGAATTTTACTTATTTCTTGAAATAATACTAATGACGAGTAATTATGAAGTCTGTACTGTAAGCTTGAGAATTAGGAACTTTCATTACATTTAAACTGGTGGAAAGCCAACTTGCATGAAATTTAATTATTTTTAAAACTGCATAAATTCACAAATTTATACGGAAAACAAATCCTAATTTTGAGTATTAAGGATGTGATTTGTATTTCATATTGCTATTACTTCGTGTTTTAATTCCCAAGACCAAGAAGAAAATTGTGATAAGTTGCCACAATTTTGTATTTGTATTTATAACTTATTAGAAAAATCTAACCAGAGTTGTGCAATAGGTACTTAAAAAAATTACCCACATTTGGTACTAATTTTTATTGAATTGAAAAATATCGGACTGATATTAAAATATCGATATCCTTAATATTGAATAAAAATTTCGTTTCGAATATTCTCAAGTAAAAGAAAGTTCAGTTCGGTGATAAATCAATATATTGTACATATAAAATTATATTAATGGTATGTTTATTTCAAAAAATGTGGGTAAACAGTTTGGTAATCAAAACAGCAATCGGTTATTTATCACTGTATAACAACAGACTTTTTGACATCTAGATATCAGGAACAATTAAAAAAAAAATATTTGTTTTTCCAAGATAATATTAGGGTTACCTCTAGGTAAGTATATAATTTTTTTTTCCTAAGAAAGAGAGGGAATAAGATAAGTATCAATGTCAAATATCTAGTATCAGAACCTAAAGTATCAATACTCAAAAACATTGATATGGATCACACAACTCTAATTCTAATACACAAATTTCCACAAACATTACCCAATGTAACAATTCAAAATCAAGTATTTCATACTGTTATTCACAAAACTACAGAAAATGAAATCTTTTGGAAAAAAAATAGAAATAAAAAACAACATTATTCCAAGCCACTGATGATTGATTCAGATTAAAAAAAAAAACAGTGAACACTATTATTTTGTGTAATGAATTCTGTCATTTCCAGTTCTTAAAAGAAACTCCATTAGGTACTTAATGTAATTAATAGTCCATTCCCTGTTCTTAATCTATTTTTACATTAATGGAAAGTTACTGGGTGCTTTGCTTTTTTATTATTATCCTGAATCTGATCAACATCCTGAATTTGGAAATTATATTTACATTGGAAAATACCAGTCCCTGAACAAAAAACAACTCAAACGTCACACTTACAGTGTTCACTGTGGTAGCAGAGCAGCCTCTTGGTGAGCTGCTTGCCGTGTCCCAACGTGCTGGGCCGCTCCGGCTTGGAGGAGGGAGGGGTGGCCTCCATGGCCCCGGGGGGCTGGCCCGCGTGCTGGGGGGTGTCTCCGTTGGGGGAGAGGGCGCCGTTCTGTGCCGCTCCATCAGTCTTTTCTTTCTTCGGCTCTGCAAAAGCAAGAGAGAAAACTGTGAGTGGCGCTTACGCAACGAGGGCCATTAATCAAAAGTGACGGCGGTTTTTAACCGATCCTGACCCACGCGAACTTGAAAAGTATTATCATTAGAAGAAAAATGTAATATAAAGTGTTTTGCAACATGCTTAAATGAAAAATAAACTTTACAAGTACGTAAAATTTATACAGATTGAGTAAAGTTCGACGGGATTTTTATATACAGTAGCCTTCTAGTTACTTTCTGGACCAATGGCGACGATCCAAAGTCTGCTGTAGTTTTTTTGAAGCAATTTTTGAGAAAAATACTTTAGACTTCTTTAATTAAAAATCTGGCTACATCGCTTTAGGTGGCGCTTACATTAGATGCGAATTCGTTCGAAAATCTGTTTGTACAAATCATACAAATTCCTAAAAAAATATTAATAATTTGCAACCTGGACATTTTTTTTATTTTTTAGCCTTAATTGCAAAATGAAATATACGACGCACGCGCGTGATGTAGTTATATATTATTACATATTCGGAAAGCTTATGAAAAGAGTTTTAAATTAAAAAAAAAATCGTCAAGATTCGTTGAAAAACAACGGAGTTACAGATTGTCAAAATTGACGGCCTATTGTTAAACAAATTAGGTTGGTAGAGGCAAAAAAAATAGTGTCATAAACCGGCAACCCGAGTGCTTTCCCAGATAAAACTATTTTATTTGTGGAAGTATGTAAGTGCATAAGAAATATTGTTAAAAGTCAGAGGGTCGCTTGATTTTTCGGCGAGCCGTGGAGCAGCGGAAGGGTGGGGAAAGCGAACGACAGCGAGTCCGAAGAAAATGATGATAAATTCATAGTCCTGCCGTTAAAAAAGCGAAATTCGCTTGAAAATAATATATTTGACAGTCTGTAACTCCGTTGTTTTTCAACGAATTTTGGTGATTTTTTTTTATTTAAAGCTCTTTTCATAAGATTTCCGAATATGTAATAATATATAACTATACCGCGCTCGTGCATCGTATACTTCATTTTGCAACTAAGGCTAAAAAATAAAAAAAATTCCAGGTTGCAATTTGAAATTTGAAAAAAAATTATAGATTTCAATGTATTATTATGAAATCTACCATGAAAAAAATCAGTGCGATTATGGAAGATGCTCGGAATCGTCCAGACTAATAATTAGTTAATTTGTTTATAAGGCCATAACTTGTAAACCATTCAACTTATCGATTTCAGATTTCGTGTGAACTATTAGACAGTGATAAGGAATGAGAGGATACGATGCCAAAACGTTCTGGTAATAATAACGCAGTTTATTAATGTTTAATTCAAAAGTCATAAATAAACTTCTGTTTATAACTTTTGATCTAATCAATATTTTTTGACGCTCGAGGGCTAATTTTGTAGGTCTTTTGAAGACGAAAAAAAAAGTACTTTACTGTTTTCTCGTGGAAATAAACGGAAAAAAGTTAAAAGCGAAAAAACGTGAATTTACGTAAAAATTATACAATTAACCACCCTGTAAACAATCTTCACCCCATTTTTATGACTGTGGAAACTAATATGTTATTGTACATAATATTTAGCATATATTTCATCAATTTATAATTTGTATACATACTTAGTTTTACGTTAATTAAGATTATGTGTCAATTTAAAAAATCTAGGAAGCATGGGAAATACTTGAAAATGAAAAACTAGCCAATTACTGACACTTGATTATGACGACACTGATTTTTTGGCAGGATTTAAAACTTTCTCAATTTGTGTATAGAGTATTATTATTTGCCAATTATAATAAAAAAAATATTATATTCCATCTTCAGGTACGTAATTCCAAAGCCTCCTAGATTTTTAATCTGTAACCAAACTGAATATGTTTTTGAAAATCGAGGTCAAAAATGGGTCACCAATAATTTTTCTAGCTTTAGTAGTTCTGGGATACGTTGAAATCCCATCGTATATGTACGAGATATGCATCCTAACATGTGATCAAAATCGCGGAGAAATCCACGAACCTACGACGAGCTTAACGCGATTTTACATCCGCTGTTTGTTTGTATTTAGGAAATTGTTTGTGATTTATGAAAATCCGCTATAAATAAGCTTACACCCATTAAATTTGCAGTTCCTGAGTACCATAAAAATAGTGTCAGGCGTGGGTAACATGAAACAATACGTGTAAATTGCTCTTGGATAGGGTCCAAACGATTGAGTGAGGCGAGAATGAATCACAAAGTACCCACTGAAAAGCAGTTGATTCGCGAATTAAACTTTGAACGAAGGTTGAAAATTGGTCGTTCGGTTAGTTTTCCAAATAGTTACTGCAAAAATAATACTTGTGGAAATGCTATTAAGCTCTTACAACTGAAATAAAGTTTCCAATACACACAATAGCTAAAAAAACAACGTATTAAAAATAATGTGCAGTTTAGGAGACCAACTAAAATAAATTTTATTACAATGAATGTTTACAGGATGTAAAATGTAATAAACCTCGGAATTGTTTAAAGTTAAAAAAAATACTAATAAAGCCTATATAAATTTTAAATATCTGGGAGCGAACAATTTAGAAGGCGATTCTACTCAAAGATAATAACACAAGTTCCTATAGGGGCATTTCGATTTGGCCGAAACTTTTTAATTGTTTCCTACCCCATTGAAAACCTCTAATTTTTTCAAATTTTTTCACCCAACTCAAAAAAGTTATGAATTTCTGAAAATAGCTTTTTTAAATAACCATAACTTTTTCAAAAATTGAGTTATCGGGACGTTTTTTTTTTGTTTGTGTTTGTTACTTTTTGAAAAAAAATAGATCAAAATTATCTGGACCTATCTTCAGTTTATTTTTCAATTTTCCAAAAAAAAAAACGAGAAATTCTCGATTACCATTATTGAAAAAACTTTACCTTATAAAAATCTAAAATTGAAAAAAAAAAATTCTATGCAGCGATTGATGACAATTTGAAAAAGTCAAACGAGGATGGTTTCAAAATGATTTATTTGAGTTCAAGTGCGTTGCATGTCTTTTTTTTAAAGCCTACTGTTCGTCCAAAAATGGACCAAATAACACTTTTTTTTTAATTTTCTGTTTTTGGATAATTTGAAAAAATTTTTTTTTTCAATTAATAAGAAAGACGAAAAAACCACTGAAAAAATTTGAGGTTTTATAAAAAATGTGTTTTTTTATAAGAAAAAAAAGACAGTAAAGATAGGTCCAGATAATTTTGATCTATTTTTTTCAAAAAGTACATTTAAAAACAAAAATTTTGAAAAAAAAAACGTCCCAATAACTCAATTTTTGAAAAAGTTATGGTTATTTAAAAAAAAAGCTATTTTCTTCAAAAATTTATAACTTTTTTTGAGTTGGGTGAAATAATTTGAAAAAATTTTCAGAGGTTTTCAATAGGGTAGAAAACAATAAAAAAGTTTCAGCCAAATCGAAAGGAGTCAGGTTTAAAAGTGGTCGATTTGACGTGGAATGCCCCTATAACAATTAATCGAATATTTAATATTAAAAAAACAATATAATCTCTGTTTTTGTACACCAACTACACCTAAGGAGATAAATTAAAATTCTGAAGCTTTAAACGGTACTTTAAAGAAACGGATTTAATATTTTGGAGTAATCTTGTTGTGAAAATAATAGTGTGCCTACGTGCATGTGGCGACGTCAGATGAGAGCAAGAATGACGAAATCGTGGCATATATTTGGCATGAAAATGCAACTTTCTGACATTTTTCTAATAATTCAGAACTGTTGCAACCTAAATATCTTCTGATCAGTAATTTTATTATACAAAACAAGTAACGTTTCTTCAAACTTGACTTGCTTGACACCATATTAATGGTTTAGTTTAGACTTTACATATTTAAACTGACTTTTAAATACGATTCACGATAGTACAAATTTGATGTTTGGGCTGGTCTCAGATGACGTCATAAGCAGACAGGACGAAATTGAGTCAGCTGATGAACACACCTTAATATATACAGCGCTATCCAAAAAGTTAATGAAGGTACCTTACTTTTAGGTCAATTTGCAGTTTTCGTCTGCCCCTCGTATATAGCAAACGTTTTATGACGTTCGATGGGCGCTATTTTGATTTGACGACATGCAGAGACAACCGACAATCGAAGGAATTTCATTTATAAAAAACGTGAAATTTAAAATAATTTAGAGGTTATGTAACTTAATATCGAGTTTTCGAAATAGTGTCATACAACCTTGCACCATTATAACTACAATAATTCCATACTTACAGTTTGCGGACACACTATTTATGGAAAAATGACAAAATATAGTTATAAACGTGACAATAACGATTTTTCGTACCCTTGAAGGAGAGCCTCTTGTAGCCAGGGGGCAGGAAAGCGGCGGGAGGGGTGATGGGGGCGGCGACCGAATCCCAATAGGGCACTACGTCCGGCTGAAGCTGGCACTGCCCGTATCCGGGCAGCTCCAGCTTGTGGCGTTGCTTTTCGCAACGGCGGCGCTGACGACGGCCGCCGGGGGTGAAGGTTTTCACCAAGAAGCCCACCCCGCTCATTTTTCGATAGGGTGCTTCTAGACGATATCTTTTTACTTGTATGCAATTGATATGTGAGGTATGTCGGTCGTAGCGCGTATTATTCCAATCTTATTTTTAAGTAACATTCATTTCAAGCAATTATTTTTATTATTATTAGTAAGATAAATAAGTAGTTTTGCTACAAAAAACAAAATCAATATTAATAGGTTCCAATAGTAAGAATATTTGTGTGCTGATGCTTCTTTGTTAATAGGATGGTTAAAAGGCTACTTGTATTGTAAATTGTAAAATAGTATAGTTAAGAAAAACAAGAATTGGTGTTAATGAAGACAAGTACAATCAGCCAACTATTTCTATTCTCCCGCTAATTTCTCTGTCAAAAACCGTCAAATTTTAATATGTATCATAGTAAAGCATCAAATGCCCAAAACTATGTTCTTAACACTTTCTATTTGTTAGTTCAAAATTTTACACTA